TTAAGTGTGATTTTTAGTAGAACTGATATGTGTAGAGAGGGAAGAAAGAATATTTCAAATAAAACACCCAAAGTTACACCTCCCTTTGTGGGTAAATGCCCAGGCAAGCAGGTTGGCCCCAAGCAGGGCCACTGAGCCCTGAAAGCTTTCCACAAGTCTAAGGGGCCTTCTGACAGGGACCCATAGGAAAGAGGCAGAAGGGGCCAGGCCAGCCTGGCACCAAAGGAGCAGAATCAAAACACTAATCAAGGTCATGGCCATTGTCAGCCTCCCCACATGTTCTCTTCCTGTCTCTCCAAGTGTTCTCCCATCTCTTCTCCCACTTCCCCTGCTCTCCCTCTCTCTTGAGCCCACCTGCTCTTCCATGTTATGTAGTTCACCTGGCCGCTCAGCTCCGGCCCTCATTAGGGGGACAGGGAATATCGAATCTCCCCTTTTTATGCCGATGTCTCTGTCACGGAATGGCAGAGAAGGCCTAGCTGGAGTAGACAAGGGAGTAGGAGGTAAGGAGGTGAAACAGGTGGCATAGGCTTGGGCAGTAAAAAGAAGGAAGGACAGAATCACTGCTCAAGGGGACACAAGACTTTCCATGTCCTATCCCAGAAGAGCATCCCCCCAACTGTGAGAGACCCAGCGCGCAGGCACCACTGCCATCTGTGTGGTCCTTAAAGACCAGGGTCCCCACATTTCTGTGCAGGCCTTGGGTGTCTACACACAAGGGGAACTTGACAAATATTCTATGCTTTTGATGACAAGGAACTGATGACAATGAAGACAACAATGAATATATATTTTTTTAACTGAGGTAACATTGTATTACGATGTGTTGCATCCTTGAAAATGAGGGTGCATCCTTGAAAACCAGCATGTGTATTTATTACAAAAGTTCACTGCAGGCCTTCCTGGTGGCGCAAGGCATTAGGTCTCAGCACTATGAAGCTATGCGCAGACACTGTAGCACAAGTTCGATCGCCGGCCAAGGAGCTGCCCATATAGCACAGCAGACGTCTCCTGACTCACCCGCTGCTCCTCTCTGCAGTGTATTTCAGTCAGTCTGCCTGTTCTGCTCCCCACTCTGTCTCTGGTGAATCCCCCCCCCGCAACACACACACACCTCTGGCCTGCTCTTATACGTATAAATAAATAAATCTTTAAAAAAAAGTTCACTGCTAAATGTCCAACTCTATCCTTCACCAGACCATTGCCCCTTTGTCCCGATGTACCCCACCCCCTGGCCCCTTCCCTTCTGGGAACATCCAAATGTTTATTTTTGTTTTATTTAGTTCATCTAAGTTTGTTTTCTATACACACCATACATGAGTGAATTCATACAGTGTTTGTCTAGGAATGCAGACTCTCAAAGATCTAAAAATCTCCTTTCTTGGTGATTAACACACCAGCTAGGCTCCCCAGGAGGTATCCTCAGTGTGGATGCTGTCTCTGGTCATTCCCTCTCCGTCTCAACGCCAAGGGCCATGATTGATTCTCTATCTCTACTCAGGCCTCTGGGTGACCTCACCCAACCTCACACCTTTAAATCACATCTAGAGGGGCCTCCCTGGTGGCACAGGGGTTAAAGACAGCGCTCTCACGCTAAAGCCAGCCACTGAAACATGAGTTCAATCCCTGGCTGCTCCCCTCAGCAGTGTATTTCAGTGGATCTGCCTGTTCTGTTCCCCACTCTGTCTCTGGTGAATCCTCTCACCTCCCTCCCCACACCTCTGGCCTCTATCCCAGTTCTTGTATGCACAAATAAATAATCTTTAAAAAATATAAAATAAATTACATCTACATACCAGAGGCTTCCAAATGTATACTTCCTTAGCCCTGACTGCTCCCACAAACCCCACATCTGCATGGTCACCTACCTACCAGCCATCTGATTCGAATGTGACAGACAACTCACACACTGTGTCCAAACCCAACTCCTGATCTTCTAGCTCCTTCCGTCATTTGGGCCCCAAACCTCACAGTGTCTTTTCCTAATTGCTTCAAGAATGACACCCATTCCTTCAGAAAAGCCTAACCTGTTGTTCTATCTTTAAAATACTTCCAGAATATGACCTTCTCACATCTCCACGGCAGTCGGCCATCTGCCTATCTACAACTGTCCTCCTGCCTGGTCTCCCCACTCTGCCTGTGTCCTCTTCACTTTGCTATCAAGTCACACCTCTGTCCGAAGTTCTCCAGTGGCACCCCATGTTCCTCCGGGTCCAGAGCCAATCCTTCCAAAGAACTACAGGGCCTTTGGTGATTTTGCCCCCCACTGTCTCGCTGAACTCACAGGTGTGAGTACACACTGGTTTCCTTGCTATTCCTCACCTATACCAGCTATGCTCTGATTCCACACCCAGGTCCTGTGGGTGGGTTTTCCCCACCCAACCCCAATGGGAACATTCAATGTAATTCCGGGAACACCTACCTGGAGATTGTATAGGGTCCTCCCAGACTGCCGCCCACTCACACTGTAGTCATCACAAGTCTAGATTATCACCTGTGCTTCTGACCACAAGCCATAGATCAAAGGGTCACATGACCCCTCCTCCATGGCTTTTATTGATTTCCTAGAGTGGTTCACAAAACTCAAGGCAACATTTTACTTCCTAGATTTCTGTTTTTAATGAAAGCTCAGTCAGATAGGGGAGCTGCACAGGGCAAAGTGTGGGGCGAAGCGTACAGAGCGTCCATGCTCTCAGGACACCACTCTCACTGAATCTCCATGTGTTCACCAACCCAGAAGTGCCCTGTAACCCCATCCTTTGGGGGGGGGTCTTAGGGAGGCTTCATTAATAGACATGATTTATTCAATCATTGGCCATTGGTGATTGAACTCAATCTCCAATCCCTCTCCCCTGCCTGTAAGTAGGAGGAGGGGCTGAAAGTCTCTGCCCCCAATCACATGGTTGACTTCATGGGCAACAGGTCCCCATACTTAGGCATGCCCCCCCCAAATCACCTCATGGACATAACCTTTATTACTCTCATTTCAGGAAAATTCAGGGTTTTAGGAATTCTCAGCCAAGAATGGGGACCAAAACCAAATACATATTTCCCATTATAAATCACTGTATCTGAACTCAGTGAAAGAATATAATGGTTACCACAGGGCACAGGGAGCAGGAAGGCAGGTGGGGTGTGGGCACAGGTGGTTTTGCGGAGGGTGAGAGGAACATGTACACATACGTAAGAGCAAAAATGTAACTCCCAAAATTAAAATTAAAAAAAGAAATCACAGGTGCTGTACCTAAGGTGCTCCCACATTAAGCCTTGGCTCTAGCGGGTCCCTGCGTAGAACCTGCTCCATACATCCCTATGGGCTTGCCTCAAGTCTTTATCCAATCTTACCTCCTCAGTGAGGCCAACTCTGACCATCGTACTTACTACTGCCACCCTGCTCCCATACCTACATTCCACATCTCCTGTTCTATTTTCCTCCCCAAAACATGTGCTTTCTAACTTAACAAATGACTTCACATGTTTCTTATCATTTGCCCACCCTCCCCACATACTGTCAGTTCCATGGTGACAGGGAATCTTTGCTCTGCTCACTGTGAGTCCCTAAGAGTGCCTGGCACAAAGCAAATACTCAGTAAACACTTTTTAAATGAAAGATCTCTTGATGACTGCTCCACTTTCAATTCCTAAGCAGCTAGTTTAAATGTAGAATATAAGCTGTTTTACTTTAACTGGTATATTAAAAAAAAAAAATCCTAAGGGAATTTTAATAGGGACTGATAGACACACGCCTACATGCAGCAAACCCACAGTGAGTGTGAACACTGCCCCCTAATGGTCGAATGTGGACATGGCCTCTTCCTGCAGAGCCAGCCACCGTGGGGAAGACTTCACTCTGGTTTAGCTGATTTAGGGTGTAAAATACTTTATAAATGACATTTCAAAATGGGTCTCCTCCAACCCTATTTTTGGAGGGAGGCAAATGAAAGTAACAATGTGTTAAAGGGAAAATTTTTAGGGAGTACGGAGTCCACTCATTTCCATACTTCGAGGAGGATGTTGACAATGAACAGGAAGTAGTAAAGAAAAATGTTAGACAAGAAAATCCTAACTTGATGACATCCATCTGCTGCACTTACAGCTGGAATCTGAGTGGGAATTTCCCATCTGTGCTTTATTCTGTTTTAATTTGACTATAAATAAGATATAAGCGTGCACAATTTACAGAGTGTCTTCTGCAGTTTGAAATTGTTTAAGGCTGCTATATAGAGAGTTTTATACACACATATACTTTAACTCAGAACCTACTCATTAGTCAGGCAGCTTATAACTTGGTCCCTGATGACTGGCACTTCCTGAGGCCTTTAACTCTTGTACCCTCTGCTCAAACATCCAAACAGAACTCCCAATGGCTAAGCCAGCTTCCCCCAAAGCCCCTGGCTGTTTGTGGGTACATTTGGGAACTGAGTCTGTTTGCTCAGGCAGACAGAAGCTGTGCTTGCTGCTTTACCTTCTAATTGACCATATGAGGGTCCATGTGGACTATCACCCCCTTCTTTACAGGTGGGGAAATTGAGGCCTGTGACTGAGGTGATATGCCCACTATCATGTGTCCATGAGTAAAATCAATACTCCGACCAGGTCAGAGCCAGGCTTCCCAGTCTACTTTCTTTCCTCTCCCCCTCTGCCTTCACATGACCCTTCCCTGGGCCTCAGGGGCTATAAATAGTGGGGGAGGTGGGGACTTCAGCCACCATGTCAGCCAGGCCTAAGGCACAGGGATCACTAACATCTTCCAATCTGGCCTAGCCCAGGCCCTATCCCATTGGCCTCAATGGGACTCAGGCCCAGACAGGCCTCAGCTTATCACTAGCTTCGCTCTCCTTAGTTATATTTAGCTCTGGACCTCAAAGAGAAAGGCATGGGCCAGCCCCTGAGACACTGCACACCCCAGGCCAGGCCCGGCTGCTGTGCATAGAAACAGGAGAAGCTGTCAGTGTGAGGCGCCTGCAGCGGGGGCTGTCTGCACGCTTCTTCCTTGAGTCTGTGGGGTGGTGGGCCAGCAGCACAATGGTAGCATGCCTGACTACCTATCAGAAGATTCTGTGGGATCCTGTTCTTTCTGCACCTCTAAGGAGAAATGACGCTGCTTCACCAGTGTGTTTGCAACCACAGGCAGGTCCGTAACACGCTGCATGTGGCTGCTGCTTAGTAATTCTTTTTGAGTGCACAAATAAACTAAGTCTGTGGCCTAGAAACCTGGACATCAAAAACTGATACACACATTTCCAGGGGGCCATCTTATAAAACAAATACACTTCATCTTATTAAACATGGTCCGGTTTATTCAAGGAATGAACATGAGTTTTTATCATCCTTCTTGCCTCCTCTTCTCTTGCCTCCACCAGATCTGACATCCAGGCCACAGAGGGAGAGGGAGAGAGGCGCACCCTGGAATCGCAGAGGCCAGCCTGCCAGCCCACGCATCAGTCACCAGGAGTGCCATCGGCTCTTGAAGTCCCCAGGACAGGCCTCCCTCTCCTCGTCTGGCTTTCTGTTTACAAGCCAGTCACTTGCAGTGACCTGGGTAGCTGTGTCTCCATCCCACTTGCGGAGTTTCTGGAGCAGACTGGGGGGCCACCCCACCCTGAACTCAAGAAGCAGGGCTGGGTCCTGACCACAAGAGCTTAAAGGGCAAAAGCTGGCAGCTCTTAGATCTTACAAAAATGGAAAGAGTCGCTTTTTGACAATATAGAGAACTGTGGCAAGAAAAAGGGCCAGGGCTAGGAAAATAAGAAGTTTGTCCGTCAGTTCTCGGCGGTTATATTTTGTGATAAGCTTCCGTCCCAACTGGATGGTCCCCGACATGGACTTAAATTCTTCATTTGCATCCAGAATAGTCCGTGAAGAATTGACTGAAACAAAAGAGGAGGGAGACTGACTCAGAAACTAAAACACAATCCAAGACTTGGCTGTGCTGGCTGGGAGACCAGTATAAGTAACACAGCATCCCAAAGTTAGTGCCTCTGAGTCAGGAGCAAGGGTGAACAGAGACAATGCAGAGGGAAGAGAACAAACACAGAAGAACAGGCATTTGTCCAGGTCCCATCCAGCTCAGAGAGTGATGTGGTTCACATGCCACGTCACAGGCCATAGCTAGGGTTCGTGGCCTGGACACCCCCTTTCTAAAGCCCCAGCCACAAAATTAACTTAGGTTATGGAGATGTGCAACCATGAGTTCTGCGGGGAGGCACCAGAACTTTCCACCTGTGAGGTGTACCCTGCCAGGGCACCTGATGGTCAGACCTGCTCTTTGCAGGAGCATGAAAGGCAAGGGGGCTGTGGCCTGCTGCAGCCCCATACATCAGTCCTTCAGTCCTGTGACACTGACTGCAGCTTCAAGGGCATGACACCTGTGCTCAGGCCACTGCATGAGCCCTCGAGGCCAATGTGCTCAGGTGTCGGATTTACTTCTAAGTCTGAATATCTGGGCTTGATGCTGGCAAGGAAGGTTCGCCTGGAAAGATTCTCCTACAAAGCACAACAAGGCATCATAGGAATATGAACAGAAGGAAACATGTTAGGTGAAAGGGCAAGGTATGAAAGTGTTACTGAAAATGCTTCCATTCATGTGATAAAGAGTAAATAATATTGAATTTGCTCATGCTCTATGTGCTGGGAGGATCTCAGAAAGACAAAAAGAAACTGGTAACAGTGAGTATTTCTGGGGAGGAGGCTGGGGCTGGGGCTGAGGGTCACTGGATGCCAGAAAAGAGAGTTATCCTGGCCTGTCCCTCCTGCACTGCCTAGGGCAAGGTATGTGACATGGCAGCCATGAGACAGGTATGGATCCTGAGCTAGGCAAAGGTGGCTGATCCAGACTGTGATGCCCAATGTGTAAAACACACAAAGATCTCTCAGTATAGAAAAAAAAAGAAATATAAAGTGCCTTGATTTTTAAATATTAATTGCATATTGATGGCACTATTTTACATATAAACAAAATATATTATTTAGGACTCCTCCATCAAGGTGAACTGTGGGTCCCAGGAAAGTGCAGGCCTGCCAGCCAGGCTGATAGAATCCAGCAACCACACGATCCCCTTCTAGAACTGAGTAGAAGAGAAGGAGAGCTCTGCCATCAAGGTGAACTGTGGGTCCAGGAAAGTGCAGGCCTGCCAGCTGGGCTGCTGGAAGCCAGCACCCCAAGAGCCCCTTCTAGAACTGAGGAAAGACAGAGGGAGGGCTCAGCAAAGGTTAAGACAGGCATGTAGGAGAAGAGACCAGCAGAATACAGAGACTCAGTGATTTTCAGGGACAGTGCCCATCAATCCATACACAGCATCACTATCCTTGTGGAGTCTGGCATAACAGTGCTGGACTCAGTCTGGCCACCAGTTACCAACGTCCCAAAGGAGCACTCCGAATGGATGCTGGCCCAAAGCATAGAACAAATTAGAAAACAAACAACAGGGAGAAGGAAAAATACAAATAAACAAGCAAGCCCTCTGGGGAAGGACACACCACAAAAAAAAAAAATCAGCCCCCAGAATTCAACAATGACATGGAAGAACTTCTCTGCCTGCCAGATAGAGAATTTAAGATCACCATGATTGAAAAACATAAAGACAAAAAAGTAAAAGAATGATATGAGAAAAATAATTAATAAAACTGAAGAATGAAACTGAGTCCCTAAAAAAGGAAATGAAAGAAACGCAGGAGATCAAAAGATTAATTGAGGACCTAAAGAACTCTGGGAAAAGCAATGAAAACAGAATTGAGATGAAATGGAAGAAGTAATCAGTACTCTTGAAGATACAGATATAAAAAGAACCAAAAATGAAAAGGAAGGAGAAGTACAAAGGAAAAGAATGAAGAAACATTTTGAGAACTGACACCTTGAGAAAAGTAAATACAAGAGTTAGAGGAATCCCAGATGGTGAGGAGTGAGACAAAGGAATCGAGAAACTAGTCAAGGAGATAATCGAAGAGAACTTCCCAAGCATGAAGAAGGAGATGAAAATAGACATACAGGAAGCTAGAGGAATACCAAATTACCACAATGAAAACTACAGCAAGACACATAATAGTAAAGCTTCCATGAATTCAAGACAAAGAAAAAATAATGAAGCTGATGAGGCGGAAGAAACAGATAACTTTTTTTTTTTTTAAAAAAAGATTTATTTATTTTTTTATACAAGCACTGGGTACAGTCAGAAATGCAGGAGGGTGAGAGAATTCACCAGAGCCAGAGCGGGGAACAGAACAGGCAGGCTGACGAAATACCCTGCTGAGGGGAGCAGTGGGCGTGGCAGGAGAGGTCTGCGGCGCCATTTGGGACCCTTGCTGGTGGCCAGGGTCGAACCGGCGCTGTAGAGGATGCAGGCAGCTTCGCAGCCCAGCACTCAACCGCTGCGCCACCAGGGGAGGCCCAAAACAGATAACTTTTAAAGGAAAACCAATCAGGCTGACATCAGACTTCTCCAAAGAAAAAGTTAAATATCCGTTTATAATGAAGGCCCTCGAAATTCTCAGGATAAAAGGAACATACCTTAACATGATAAAAGCCATATATGATAAAACCACAGTCGATATTATTCTCAATGGTGAAAAGCTGAAAGCCTTTAAGATCAGGAACAAAACAGGATGTCCACTCTCACCGCTACTTTTCAATATAATATTGGAAGTCCTAGCCAGAGCAGTAAGACAAGTGAAAGACATACAAGGAATTCAAATAGGGAAAGAAGTAAAACTATTACTATTTGCAGACAATATGATAACATACATAGAGAACCCTAAACACTCCACAGAAAAACTAATTAAAATAATAAACCAGTTTAGTAAAGTAGTAGGATACAAACTCAACATACAAAAATCAGTAGCCTTCCTATATGCAATCCATCTGAAGAAAAAGAAATTAAGAAAGCCATCCCATTTGCAATTGAAACAAAAAAAAAATCAAATACCTAGGAATAAACTTAACCAAGGAGGTGAGTGGCCTATACAAAGAAAATTATAAAACATTGTTAAAAGCAATAAAAGAAGACACAAAGAAATGGAAAGATCCCCTGCTAATGGATTGCAAGAATTCACATTATTAAGATGGCCATCCTACTGAAAGCAATTTACAGATTCAACGCAATCCCAATAAATATCGCAATAACATTCTTCAAAGAAATAGAACAAATATTGATGAAATTCATATGGAGCTGCAAAAAACCTCAAATAGCCAAAGCACTCCTGACTAAAAAGGAGAATGGAGCTATCACACTTCCAGACGTCAAAGTATATTATATAGCCATGATAATTAAAACAGTATGGTACTGGAACAAAAACAGACATATAGACCAATGGAATTGAATAGAAAGTCCAGAAACAAAGCCACACATATATGGACAACTAATCTTTTACAAAAGAGCAAAAAATATGCAATGGAACATTGCAAGTGCTGGGAAAACTGGACCACCACATGCAAAAGAATGAAAGGAGACAACCACCTCACACCAAGCAGAAAAATCAGCTCAAAATGGATAAAAGAATTAAACATAAGACCTGAAACCATAAAACACATGGAAGAAAATATAGGTAAAACACTACATGACATACATCTCAGTATCATCTTTAAAGACTCATCCCCCAAAGCAAAGAAAGTAAAAAAAAAGATAAACAGCTGTGATTACATCAAAGCCTCTGTACAGCAAAAGAGACATCAGCCAGAACAAAGAGGCACCCTACTGACTGGAAGAAAATTTTTGCACTCCATACAACTGATAAGGGACTGATCACAAAGATCTACTAAGAACTCACACGACTCAACAAAAACAAAGTAAACAATCCAGCCAAAAAATGGGCAGAAGAGCTAAAAAGATACTTCTCCAATGAGGAAATGCAAATGGCCAACAGGCATAGGAAAAAATATTCAACATCCCTTATAATCAGGGAAATGCAAATCAAAATAAGAGCGATGCCACCTTACACCAGTGAGAACAATGCATATTAAAAAAACTAGCAACAAGAAATGTTGACGAGGATGTGGAGAAAAAGGAACTCTCCTGCACTTCTGGTGGGAGTGCAAACTGGTCCAACCACTATGGAAAGCTGTGTGGAGATTCCTCAACCTACTAACGTAGAGCTTCCATATGACCCAGCAATTCCACTCCTAGGAATCTACCCAAAGGACACAAAAACATTAATTCAAAAGGATACCTGCATCCTTACATTTATTGCAGCATTATTTATAATAGGTAAGAAATGGAAACAATCCAAATGCCCAAAAATAGATGGCTGGATCAAGAAGCTATGGTATATATACACAATGGAATACTATTCAGCAATCAAAAAAGATACTCTAATGCCAGTCACAGCAACATGGATGGAGCTAGAAGGGATTATGCTCAGCGAAATAAGTCATAAAGAAAAAGAAAAATACTGGATGGTTTCACTTATAGGAGGAATATAGAGGAACCAAATAAGGGATCAGGGGAAAAAATAACAACTAAAAATACTGGCAGGCAGGCCTCCCCAGAGGCGCAGCGGTTGAGCACTGGGTTGCAAAGCTGCCCGCAGCCTCTCCAGCGCTGGTTTGATCCCTGGCCACCGGGTGAGGGTCCCACATGGCACGCAGACCTCTCCTGCCACCCGCTGCTCCCCTCAGCACTGTACTTCCTCAGTCTGCCTGCTCTGCTCTCCGCTCTGACTCTGGTGAATTCTCTTACCCTCCCACGCTTCTGACTATACCCAGTGCTTGTATAAATAAATAAATAAATCTTTAAAAAAAAAAACTGGCAGGCAAATATAAATCAGAGACATTCTGTGTAGGAGATGGAGGTAAAAGGATCAGAACAGGAAAGGGAAGAGCACAGGGGACTATGGCCATGGTGCATGGCTGAATTGGTGGTGGGAATTCTATGGGGTCTACATCTAAGAGGAAAAAGCAAACATTGTACAAAAATGAACAATGATGTAAATTTTATATAAATAAATAATATTCAATATATATACTATTAAAATTAATTTCATATTTCTTTATACTTTTTTAATGTGCCTACCAGAGAACTGGCTCATTTTATTTCTAGTGGATAGTGCTGTCTTAAGATTCTTGCACTTACTCACATAATACATGGTTTACCTTTTCAAAAAATTAAAAGTTAGTGAAAATCAAAGAAGTTAGCAGAGGAAACAGAGCAGCACTGTGAAAAAGACAAGGGGTAGGAGGGTAAAGCTTTCACATAACAGAACCACTCTTGTTCCCCTCCCTCCCTCTCCCTCCAGACTGGCTGCCTGGAGAACGTGTTCAGCAAAAGCCTAGTAGGCTCTCCTTTTAAACATCATATTATAGACAGTTTTAAACCATCACAAAAGCAGAAAAGTGTCATGAAAAACCACGTGCCCATCACCCCTATAGCAAAGACTCCCCAACTCTCCCTGGTAATCCTGTGCCCCATGTTCCCGGTCCTAGGAATCTGCTGCCAACTCCAGACACCATATCCCTTTTACACTTTTGAAAAATACCATGGTCTTAATAGGTTTTTAAGTCAAGCTAAATTCGTGATCTGCAAGGAGAGGATAAAGAACTGCATCCTTTCTCCAATGGCCTGCTCTTCCTGCAAAATGTGTCTCAAGAACAACTCTCCGTCGGCATCCATACACCATTCTCGCCATTAAGTCTGTTGTCTGGTCCTGATCTATGCATCCTGCCACCCGTGTCAGAGCACAAAAGTCCTAGATCAGGCCAGTTGGGTTCCTCTTTCTCAGGGTCCCCAGGGGTCTCCCCAGGCTTGGATGGCACCCACAGCACACGCTCCAAGAAGTGATGCACTCAAGAAGGTGACACACGCTGAGAGGTGATGGGCTGGTTCTAAGCCTATATGCTCAGCTAAGCTTCAAACACAAGTGACCTTGGGAACCAGCTGCCTGCTTTCCTTTTGCTTCTGAGAAAAAAAAAGTTCAGATGGATAAGTTTTAGAGGTGATACTAATATTATGGTTTTGGGGATTTTTGTTTGTTTCAAAGAGTATCTTATTTTTTAGAGACACACTGAAAAAATATTTATGGATGATGCCTGAGATTTGCATCAAAATAATCCAGAAGGGGGACAATGAGGGTTCATGTTCCATGCCATTGTACAAAATATTCCATATGTAAACTCTTCTGTTTTCCTATATGAAGAGCCTGGAAAGCCTCTTCTGCATCACAAGAGAGGCACCATGGGAAAGCTGTAGGGAGAACCAGATAGTCTCAGGCAGTTTTTTCTCACTGGAGCTTTTAAAAGAACTCACAGAAAAACAGCATGGGAGAGTAGGACCGCAGGCCGAGTGCTGGTGGCAGATACACTAACCATCTTTTGAGGCAGTGATTCCTACAGGCCCCCAGTGCCCCGATAGAAAATAGACCCTCAGGCCTCTGCCTAGCCCTGTCAGCCCCACACTCAGGACAGGGCTGGGGTCAGGGGAGGTTGGTCTCTGTTTTTCATTGAATCCCTGGGATTGCTTCTGCTGGGAAAACATGTATAAAGACCTTCTAGTACAACTATAAGAACCAACAAGAGAAGTAAGAGAAATAAGATCTCTGAGTGAGACCACGCTGCCAAAGAAGCAAGAAAAGACATGCAGAAGAGAGGGCGAGAGAAGTGGAGGAGCTGGGGGCAGGTGCCAGGGCAAGGGCTCTGCAACCGGTGTGGCTGGGAGAGGCTTGCCCCTCAGGCCTGACTTTACCTAGTGACTGCATGGCTTCCTCGCTCTGCTGCACCTGCTGGGACATCATCCTGCTGATTCCCATGAGGTTCTCTGTGATGGCGCTGGACGTCTGGGCCAGGCTCTCCTTGGTGGTTTTCCTACGGATCCAGAGTGGGAGGAGGAGGGTCAACAAAAGCCTGGCTGCAAGAAAGTCCCATTTTCAAGTGAGTTCCCATTTTCTTCTCTATGAAATTAGAACTTTTTTTAAAGATCAGGGTCAATGCCAGCAGGGTGTGCTCAGACCACATGTTTGAAAGACCAACAGCATGGACACACACTGGTGCTGCCTTCTGCAAAGCAATTCGGTAGCAAGTATTAGGAACATTAGAGAAGTTCATGCCTTTGACCCAATCACCTAAGGCCTGGGACACTCTCCAGAGGAAATATTCAAAATGTGGAAAGACCTTATGTTCTAAGAAGTGCCCTGGTGTATTATTTATAATACTGAAAAACTAGAAATGGAAACACACACACACACAGAGGATTAATTCATACAAGGGAACATTATGTACTACTAAAATTTTGTATAGAGTTTTAAAAAAAAAAAAACAGGAAATCTTTGTGTTATAATATTACATGAAGAAAAGTAGGAAACTAATTTTTATTTATGGGATGATAATTATCTTTTAAAAACTATGAAGGAAAAACAATGGGAGGAGGCAATATACTAAAATGTCTGTAACATATTACAGTTTATTTTCATTTTGCAATTCATACTTTATTTTACCAATTTACTGTAAATAAACATATATTTTCTTTCATATGTAGCACTATTACTTATATAATAAAATTAAATACCAATGTTCTGCTGAAAACAAGAGGGGGTTCCCCACAATGGATTAGCACCTTGCTAACTGCTCTCAGGTCTATCATCAGGGCCCAGAAAGACAAAAGGATGCGTACCTTTGCCTCAAGAGATCTCCTCCCTGGAGAAGTTCTGCTTTCTCTAGATTGTCGATAGCAATCTTGCAAGTGAGATTGGCTTTCCTCCAGGAGGCCTGATTGCTAGAATGACAAGGGTCCTGGTGAGTTCCTGTTCACTCCACGAGGCTGGCAGTTCAAGTCACCACAGCTTTTCCTTCAGCAAGGCAGTGATGGGGGTGGTCACCCAGATATGGCCCACAAGCTCCTTCTGCACTTCCCCCGAAACTTTCCATGTCCCAAAACCCTCTGAACCCTGGAGATCACCTCCTTGATGCTCTCTTGCCTCCCCTAGGCAGCCAGAGGGAGCAGTCTGACCAGGTTACACATCTGTTAACAACCCACAAGGCTGCAGACTGCAGCCCAACACCCAAGCTCTCTGGATGGGCACATGAGCCCCACCCCCAACTTCAAGTGCTCTGTGGCACCTACTGCTCTGCCTGTGTGCTGAGTGCCTCTGTTCCTCAACCATCCAGCTTTCCTCACCTTTGTATCACTAGTTCCTAGAACAACACTGTCTGGCCCCTTTGCTGCTCAGTCAATGTATGTTACGGGAAGCAGAAAAAAATCATCAAGATAGTCTTCCTCACCATTTCTTCAAGATCTGCTGTTCTTCACTTCTTCAAGAAGTGCAGAAGGAGCCTTCCTGATTGTGGGCTATGCAAACACACTGTAATAGCATTGTGGGGTGGTCACCTTGCTATTTGTGAGTGGTAAGGTGAGGTGCAGCCAGGATCAGGTGTCCAGTTTGACATGATTCATATACAATCTTTACTGCTCCCCCTCTCCCCCTGAATGCCAGGTGTTATAAACACAGCTGTTGTGGGCGAGGCTGACGCTGGAGAATTACTCACATCAGAAGCAAAGCCACAGACAAATACGAATCCGGCAGAATCAGACCAACTAACAAGAAGGAAGGAAAATCCTACGAGAACCTAGCAGGGATTTTTAAAGAGAGCAACTTGGCTACCAAAGGATTGGAAAAGTTGACCAAGTTCTAAATATTTTTGCAACAACAACCCTCTCTTTAATTTAACCTTTATGATGCAAAAGTCAAATGCAGAGTGACAGGTACTGTTTCAAGCCAACAGACAATTTTGTTGGAAAAGTTAAACCTCTTTCACTTAAATACCCAGAAATAGCACACACCTTTAATTGAACAAGCAAGGATTAAATGATAACCTGAATTTTATTTAACCTAATATAAGTTTATTGGGTTTTGTTTCATTTTTTAGATAAAGTCCCATCAAAACTTTCTAAAGTTTGGTTCATCTTAAGTATGTTCTCTTTCAGGGAACCTTTTTTGGTATCCTAGCTAAAAAAGCATCTCATATTACAAAAGCAGGCATTTTTTGGTATTTTTTTTAAAATATAAAATATAGTATCATGCTAAATGTGCTGTTGTAAGCTATGCCATTTCACTGACTCAATAGTCCCTGCTTGATCCCCCTTAGGAATTACCGACCTAGAGGCCGCCTTCCGTCTGTGCATGAATGAGACAAAGAAACCATTAAGGCAGGCTTGTTAGACAAACCCAGGACAAGTCTCGCAGGAAGCAAGAGAGCCAGCAGAGGCTGCTGGCAAACCAGGCCCTGCCTACCTGAGCATCTGCTTTTTATGATTCTCCACTTCCTGGAGCAAAACTTGCTTCTCGGACTCTTTGTCTTGCTCTTTCGCAGACTGCTCAAGCTCCTTTGGGGGGAAATAAATATATATTAAAATGATTTTAAAAACCAATATAAAAATTTTGAACAGCACTTCTATTTTTAGTAAGGTCATAGAGCAGCAGTCAAAGACCACCTGGGAATGCCAGGTAACAAACAGACATTTAAATATATAGCTGAGTTTGTAAGAAACTAAGGACAATACCTAAGGCCCCAAGTGAGAAGGTCCTAAGAGCCAGAGTGGTCAGCCTATGCGCAGAGCCTGTGAGTGATGGGTGGCTGCACTGGAGTGGGAGTGAGGGGTGCTTGAAATGAAAAGTGGACACATGACTGGTGGGGAACCACTGAGCCCACATTGCAATTATCATGCAAAATGCAAACTACTATCTGCTTCTCAGTGCTCATCACTCTCCATCTCTGTGCCTAGGTTCATTATAGACTGGGAAGGGAACAAAAGGCTACAGGGCTTTAAAGACCATGTAGGGGCAGGAAAATGAAGACTTACACTATTTGAGGCTAAAAATTGGAATTGAGAACACCACAAATCAAGGACCCACTGTGGGAGGCACCCTCAGTGGAAAAGAGAACTGGGAAAGTGTCATCAGCCAGCACAGAAACAACATAGAAGCCTGTCCTTTTCTGCTGTGGGCTCTGGCTAGAGGGATAAAATATATTTCCCCTGAGAATTTATAAACATGGAGCTACCTCACACTGAGCAGGGGTTCAAGTTCATCCTCCCAGAATGCTTCCAGAATCTCCATTAGGGGAAATTAACATAAAAAGTGTTCTCAGACTTGTGATAATCCTAGGAAACTTGGCAAAAATCTCTGGTGAGAACAAAAGTCCCACAGACAATATCTGCTGATATGGGAAGATTTCCAATCAATCTTCTTAAGTTTGAAAAAGCGGTGTTTTAGTATGTTACCTTTTAGATGAGAAAGAAATAAAACACATTTGCCTTTTTTAGCATCTGACAGAGAAACTATAGAAAGATACATTAAGTAACAAATAAAAGTGGTTACCTGTTTGGAGGAGGGGAACAGAGAACAAATTAGAAGCACACCATATTTTTCACTGTATGCCAATATTCACAAACATGTGAAAATAACAGCCTTTCAAAACAATTTTTAATAGATTAAATCAATGCTGGGAATGGAGGCAGAAAGAGATCAGCTATGCACAATGACATTGCTGAAATTCTATAGTGAACTCCTATGGCAAGAACAGCATATTTTCATAAGTACCCTTGAAAATCTAGTTTTTCTATCAGCCTTGGAATAGATAATCTTCTTCTGTTAAAGCATCAATGGAGCTACTGGCTGGCAATTGAGCCCATGTCATTTGAAACACACAAGTCTAAAGGCTGGTGCCAAGACCCATCCGGGCTGGGCAGATCATATACTCATCTTATCCTCATTGAGGGCACCACAGCAGAAACACCTAATACATTCAAACTGGTACTTCTCACTTTACTGATTTTTGAGACAGCACATACAGCAGAGTTGAGTTTAGAAGTGTTATATGTGCCTATAATTGTCCGGTGAATACAGAAACAGAAGAGGCTGGGCAGTGACAGCATGATAAAAACCAGGAGGCACTGGAGATGGGTTAGTAAGTAGAAATTGAGTGAAGAGAGTGGTACAGAAAAGGAAGTAATTCAAGCGACCTCAGAGTTTTCAAGTTGAGAATTCCAAAGGCAATGGTGTACCTGTCATGTACTCGTTAACAGATCTGGCAGTAATCTGCATTCAAAATGCAGTAATCTGCATTTTCACCTAAATGGTAGGTGAGTAAAGTATCTTCACTCTCCAAACGTTTACTGAAGATCCTAGACAGCTCTCGGGTGGAGGTAAGTCCCACAACCGAGCCCCTTTATTGTTACCCATTCTTAGCATTTCAGATTGGGGCCACTCACCTGTATCCTGTGGCGCAACTGTTGAAATTTCTCTTTCACTTTAGTATTCAGTTCAGTCAATGCGCTTAATGGTCCTGAACAATCTCGAATATCCTAGGAGACATTGAAGAGATGAGGGGGTCTTTGCCAAGGCAATGAAATGAAAGGACACTATCTATAGTGACAGCTTACACCTTAGACCTTAGACACATCTAAGGGTGGCCTACTAGCTGTGATTCATTCTGATATTTGCTGTTTATTTCTACAACACAAGCAAGAACATTACTATTTGCGTTTCTCCCATTCTGCTTTCGATTTTTAAGCAAGTAATATAAAAGCAGAGAGAATACAATTTTGTCTCGATTTATTAGTTCCAAACACTTAATAATATGTCACCAGGCCAATACAAAAGGTGAAAAGTATACATGACATCCAAAAGTCAGACTATAATTTTAGATCTTTCCAACTTGAAAACCGGGTGCTAAACTCCTGGCATTGTATGACCAGATGAACTTCTTATGATTAATTTCTTCCATCTGATTTTATAAACCATCCATTATAAATCACAGTGTTCACAGATATGTTCCAGGGTAGACTGGTAATTTGCTTCAAGTCATTCATATTACCAGCCAAGTTTTTAAGGTAGAGTCAAGAACCAGACTATGTGGATTAAAACCCTGGCTGCAGCAATCTGTTTGATGAGTGACCTTTAAAAAAAACCTTCAGGGCCTCCCTGGTGGCGCAAGGGGTTAAGACGCAACCTATGAAGCTATTCGCAGCTACTGCAGCAAGAGTTTGATCCCCAGTCAGGGCGCTACCCACATGGCACAGCAGACCTCTCCTGTCTCGCCCACTGCTCCCCTCATCAGTGTACTTCAGTCAGTCTGCCTGTTCTGTTCCACATTCTGTCTCTGGTGAATCTTCTCACCTCCCACACCTCTGGTCTGTACCCCAGTTCTTGTATACATAAGTAAATAAATCTTTAAAAAAATAAAAAATAAAAAGCCTTCAGTTCTCTGTGAACTTTAAACCAAGGTTTAAAAAATAAGCCTCAGTTGCTGCATTAAGACATGACCTGACTAATAGAACATGTATATATGTAGAATGTTCAGAATAGGAGCTGAAACACATTTATACTCAATGCTTCTCATTAGCAACCACAAGAACCCAAATATTAGAGTTCAAAAGGGGGCTTAAGCAATTTTATCATGTAATTCACAATATATTACATATATTAAAAGATGGTTATAATGACTATTACACATAAATTAGGTTATCCAAAAAGGCAATTTTATTTGTATGATTCCTATGTTTATGTTTTTAACATTGTCCCAAAAGTTTTGCATTTGAACATGGGAGAAGTAAAGCTCAATTGTAAATGTTTGCCAAGTTTCCTCACTTGTTCTCTGGCTTACACATTAAATCACATTTCCTGGCACCATTCACTAACTGGGTTTATTACGCATCTGGTTTCCGTGGGCAGCCCTACTTTCCTTTCTTTCTTTTATTTATTTATTTATTTTTGATTGATTTATTTATTCATACAAGCACTGGGTACAGTCAGAAGCGCGGGAGGGTGAGAGAATTCACCAGAGTCAGAGCAGGATGCAGAACAGGCAGAAGGACCGAAGTACACTGCTGAGGGGAGCAGCGGTCGGCAGGAGAGGTCTAGCGCGCCATGTGGGACCCTCCTCCGGTGGCCGGGGAGCAGCCGGGGATCGAACCAGCACTGCAGAGGCTGCGGGCAGCTTCGCAACCCAGCGCTCAACCGCTGCGCCACAGGGGAGGCCCTCTTTCTTTTATTTATTTTTAAAGATTTATTTATTTATTTATTTATTTATTTATTTATTTATTTATTTATACACGCACTGGGCACAGTCAGCAGCGCGGGAGGGTGAGAGAATTCACCAGAGCCAGAGTGGGGAGCAGAGCAGGCAGAAGGACCGAAGCACACTGCTGAGGGGAGCAGTGAGCTGCAGGAGAGGTCTGCGCGCCATGTGGGACCCTCCTCCGGTGGCCGGGGAGCAGCCGGGGATCGAACCGGCGCTGCAGAAGCTGCGGGCAGCTTCACAACCCAGCGCTCAACCGCTGCGCCACCGGGGAGGCCCTACTTTCCTTTCTTTTAGCCACAGTTAGTTGCAGTGTTTAGTAACATTTGTTGGAAATAGAAACGATCTGCTTAAAACCAAGGTTTAAACTCTTGGCTTCTTTTTGTTAAATTCAAGGAACCATTTCTTCATTCCTGACTCTTGCCTATGCCAACTGGTTTATTGCCTTACAGTCTTCTCCCCAAAATGGCTTAAGGCAAAGGCACCAATTACCCCATCTGTTAAATGTACTGACTTTCTCGTCCCTTCTGTAGACCGACTTTGCCCGTCTGGGTCGCGGTTTTGCCACTATCTTCCTAATGATGCAGGTCTTGGCAGGTTACACGATTTTTTCACTTACAAAATCACAACCAATGCCCAGATTACGTTCCTTTCACATGCGTCCTTTACTAGGAGGCTTGGGTGCCAGGGGGCACGGGAACTAGCGACGTGGACAGCCGGAGCGGGGCTAGTGACCTCAAGGACACCACCAGCTGTTGGGCAGGGCAGTGGCAGAAGGTAGGGCCAAGCAGGTGACAGGTGTGTTGGGAGGTGGTCCAGGAGAAACCAAGTGGGGAAGCCTGAGTAGGGTGTGGGACAAGCAGGACGCCCGGAGGAGGATGAGCAAAGGGCACTTGGATAGAGAATCAAGGGACCTGACCAAGTAGGGGATTAGCCAGGGGGAAATCAGCCATCGGGCGGGACCAACGACCTCGCAGATGAGCCCGCCGAATTCCCAGGCCAGGGGAGCTTGGGTTTAGGGCTGCTAGAGCAGGAGTCCCGGGAATGAGTACCTGGATAAGCGCCTTCACCTCCAGGTCAAATTTGACAATCTCTTGGTTACAGATCCGGACGTGGACATCTTGGGGAGCCGCCATGTTGGGGACGCCAGCTACGGGCAGCGGCGGTGGCCAAACTTTATCGCGTTTTCGCGCTTCCCTTCCTTCCCCTCGGCGTCCACGGCAGCGCCCCCTAGAGGCCGTGCTGCGGCGAGCGAGGTCGGCAAATGCCAAAGGTAGGGACTTTCCCTGACACGTGGGCAAAGTCAGTCTTGCCGGTTGGTCTAGTCGTAATGGCACGGAGAGGAAGAGGTGACAAAGCGTGTAGGGGGTTTTAACAGTGGCGTCCCCCATCTTGCGCCTGTTAGCTATTCTAATGACAACACTTATTTTGCATAGAGGGGGAATAAAGTACGGAAAGTCTTGATTGGGATGTCTTTGGAAGGTGAAATTAACGAGTTTTGCATTTCTTTAAAGTTTCTTGTATATTTTACAATTTCTACAGTGAAAACGCATTGTATTGTAGAATAAAAGAAAAAATGATATTATTACTTTGTTTTATTGTGAGGAATTCAAGGCGGGTGGGTAGGCCACTTCCTGTCCTCCTACACATAGTCAGAGATCTTTCTTTTTTTTTTTTTTTTTTTTTATAGAGGCATGTTTTTTATTTATTTATTTATTATATTTGTTTGTTTTGTTTATACATGCACTGGGTACAGTCAGAAGCGCGGGAGGGTGAGAGAATTCACCAGAGCCAGAGCGGGGAGCAGAGCAGGCAGAAGGACCGAGGTACACTGCTGAGGGGAGCAGCGGGTGGCAGGAGAGGTCTGCGCACCATGTGGGATCCTCCTCCGGTGGCCGGGGAGCAGCCGGGGATCGAACCGGCGCCGCAGAGGCCGCGGGCAGCTTCGCAACCCAGCGCTCAACCGCTGCGCCACCGGGGAGGCCCAGTCAGAGATCTTTCTTAAAAGCACCCTGATCAAGTCACCACACATCTTACACCATCCCATCTCATCTTTGGCTTCTGGCGGGTGGTTCCCTTTTGTGTTCAACTGAATCTACTTGCTGGGTAGTTTTGATGAATCAATGTAGTTTTTGATGGAAATAAACTAAGAGTAGACCCTCAACAAGTGGTAGCACTTCATTTTATTTTTATTTAATACTCCATATTTCTTAACTGCTACCCAAGATCATCAGCCACTCCACCAGCCCTGCCCCCTTTCTGAGTTCCTCAAACTCTTGTTCAATCTTAGCTTAGAATGCTTTCCCCCTAGTTCTACACTCCTACATTGTGGGTTCACTTGAGCAAGCATAGAGTGTGAGGACTGAGTGCCTAGCTGCATTTGTTTCTCTTAGTCATCACAGCCACCCTTGAAATAAGTAATGGCCCAATTTTATTTTATTTTATTTTTTTAAGATTTTTTTTTTTTATTTATTTATGCAAGCACTGGGTACAGTCAGAAGCGCGGGAGGGTGAGAGAATTCACCAGAGCCAGAGCGGGGAGCAGAGCAGGCAGAAGGACCGAAGCACACTGCTGAGGGGAGCAGCGGGCGGCAGGAGAGGTCTGCGCGCCATGTGGGACCCTCCTCTGGTGGCCGGGGAGCAGCCGGGGATCGAACCAATGGCCCAATTTTAAAGATCAGGAGATGGACTAAGTGTAGATCAAAACCAAAACGAACACACCTACCCCAATATTAACCAAACTGAAAGCACAGAGCCTTAACTAAAAGCCACATCTGCCCTCAAAAACCAAATATGGTGCCCTGAGTAGTATTGTACAAGTGGAACTGTGCTCTTGCCCGTCTGTGTTCCTCAGCACGCACACACCCTCCCTTTAAAGTGTTTGTTGCCCCTGCTGCATCTAAGATAGAGGCTACATACTGCAACTGGGAGTCAGCCCTGGTTTGAACCCTGCTTGGTAATGCTCTTCATATCTCTGCGCCTCAGTCTCCTTAGAGATAATTGATGGTAGGGTTGGGTGGGGTATTAAATTAGGACATATAGTAATGTGGCATGTGGTCAGAACTCAGTTTTTGCTAGCTGCTATTTTTGTATTACTGACATTTGGGAGTGCTTCTAATGTGCCAGCCACTTTCTACCTAGTGATTCATGTATGTCACCTAATTTAACTCCCACCACAATCCCATGAAGTAGAATTATCTGCCTTTTACAGGTGAGAGAACAGGCACAGAGACTAGTGTCTTGCCCCAAGGCAAATGGACTTACCAGTGTTAAGGACTATGAAAGGGGGAGGAGCATCACAATGCAGCCCCATAACTACCTTGGACTACAACTCCCAGCAGGCCATTAATTGGACTTCCTGAATGGGGGACAGCTGGGAAAGAGCTAAGTATATACATAAATGGAGGTGGAATGAAGGAAGAGGGAAAAGCATGTGGGTGAGACATCTGTTGGGAGGCTGCTTCTGGTCCTTGGCAGAGACAATGGCAACCATTATCTTGACCTTATGATGGATTATGTGATATATTTTGAATTTCAGGTCTCTCCTTTTGTCCCAGCTGAGACATGACTAATCCCTTTCTTGTGGTCCCCTGCCAGAAGGTGCCTTAGACTGTGACAAGCTTTTGGCCTGAGCTGCCCTGCTTTGGATTGAACCTGTTTGGCTGGACATTTGCCCAGAAGGGGATGGGTAATTTTCCGAGTTTTATTAGGAACATCCTTTCGTTTCTCTCTCTTTCTCTCCCCCCCCCCCTCTCGCCACACAAATTAAAATCTTTCACATTAAGTCTGTTTTTTTTACCTTTGTGTATGTGGATGGCTGAACCCTCTTTTAGGGCATGCTCCTCTTAACAGTTTGTAACAGGGTAATCCACAGGGAAAAGGGAGGTTCCAGTTTGTCTGTCCCACCAAAGGGAGGGTGGAGCTGGGCAGAGAGAAGCTAAAAACAGGAAGAAGGAAAGAGATCAAGACGACTTGGAGGAGGCACATGGAGCAGAAAGGCGTGAAAAAGTTACACTTGCCTCCCTTGGTGGCGTAGGGGTTAAAGACAGAGCTTTCAGGCTGTCGCCAGTCACTGCAGCATGAGTTTGATTCCCTGACCCACCAGGGAGGTAACACACATGGCGCAGCAGACCTCTCCTGTCTCGCCCGCTGCTCCCCTCAGCAGTGTATTTCAGTAGATTCTCCTGTTCTGCTCCCCACTCTGTCTCTGGTGAATCCTCTCACCACGCTCAACCCCACACTTGTGACCTATACCCCTGTTCTTGTATGCGTAAATAAATTAAAATAAAAAACTTAAAAAAAAAAAGCTACACTAGCTTCTCAATCTTGGACTTGTACCAGGGACTTGGGGAACATGGAAGGAAACACTGGAAAGAAACAGACATGGGTAAGAGACATGTGGGGAAGCTGACAACGGCAGCCTTGCCTTGATTTGCATTTTGGTTTTGCTCCTTTAATTCCAGACCTGCTTGGTCCTTTCTGTCTCTTTCGTGTGGTTCCCCACCAGAAGGTGCCTTAGACTTGTGGCAAGCTTTTGGGCCTTAGCAGTCCTGTTTCAGGCCTACCCTGTTTGGCTGGGCATTTACCCATGCGGGGATGGGTAATTTTGGGTATTTAATTGAAACCTATTTTAACTATATTCTTTCTCTTCTATTGGACACTACTTGTCTTAAAGTTCCTTTCCATTGAAGGTCTTATTAGAGTATGTATTGTCTTGATGTAGCAGATGGCAGAACCTATTTAGAGCAGGTAGGTTTGGGAGTCCCAGGATACCCCTCCTTCTGCCCTGTTAACAGTTTGGGATCCCTGGGTACCCCTCAATCACACACTTACACAGGTCAAAGGATCTATGTATTTTAAAATTCTAATACATACTACCAAATTGCTCTTCACAGACTTCATACCAGTTTACTCACCCACCAGCAAGATGGTACAGATGTCTGTTTCCCCATGGTGTGATAAACACTGGCATTTTTTTCCAATCTGATTAAATGAAAAATGGTGTCTTTAATTTGCATATCTCTTACTATGAATGAGTTGGAGAGATATTCGCAGTTACTTTATTGTCTACTCATTTTTCTTTTTTTTTTAAAGATTGATTTATTTATGCATACAAGAACTGGGGTACAGGTTAGAAGTGCAGGGGGTTAGAGGATTCACCAGAAACAGAGTGGGGAATAGAACAGGCAGACTGACTGAAACATACTGCTGAGGGGAGCTGCGGGTGAATCAGGAGAGGTCTGCTGCGCCATGTGGGTAGCTCCCTGGCCAGCCAGGATTGAACTCATGCTGCAGTGGCTGCGGACAGCTTCACAGTGCTTAACTCCTTATGCCACCAGGGAGGCCCTTCTATTGGATTGTTGGTCTGTTTCGTATCAGTTACCATTAACACTTTATATAGCAGGAAGAGTAGCCCTTAAACTTTTTTCTTAGTCTACAGAATTTTGACTTGGTTATGGTTTATTTTGACTTTTGAACTTAAAATTTGTTTTAAAGGAATTGCCCACATTTCTTTCTAATGTTTTTATAATTTTTTTTTACATTTAAATCTTTACACATTTAGAAATATTTGTCAGCTTATGGTATGAGGTATAGAGCCAGCTTTTTCCAGAAGGTTACCAGTTGTTCCAATACTATTTTCTGAAGAATCCATCTTTTTCTCACTGGCTCTAGATGCCATATTTACTATGTTAAATGCTTATACTTAAATCTATTTCTAGACTTTCCATTCTGTTCTGTTGCCTGTCCATTCATGTACCAAAATGACCATTTTAGTATCTGTGCTGCCAAAGCCAGCATGGCAGTGTTTTAGTTATTACAGTTTGATGTGTTTTAATATCTAGTAGGATTGAACACTCCATTTCTTCCTCCCCCACCACCACCCCCAGCATCTTCCAAATATTTTTTTCCCATGTGAACTTTAGTTGTTTTAACCCCACTGATTATGTTTTAACTTCAGGGAACTGACAGCTATGTTGACTGTTCCTGTTCAAGAATCAGTCTTCTTCCATTTATTCAAATCTTATGTCTTTCATAGCACTTTCAAGATTTATTACCTAGATCTTATTTATTTTCTGTTAGCTCATTCCTGGTGATGTCTTAAATCTTTTCAAGAAACCAAACTTGGTATTTTTCGGGTCACAAACTTGGATCCTCCAACAGAAGTTCCCCATTTAGGATAATGAAGAAGCTCTAATTCTGCAAGCACAGATCTGGCCCCATGACTGGGGCCCTTCTCATCATGCTTCTTGATGGAAATTCCTGTGCAATCAATGTGCCCAATTACCTCTCTAAGAAGCAAAGAAAGAAAGCACAGCACCCTTTTTATACACCTTTCAATATACTCCCTTATAAAAGAGACCCAATTCAAAGTCCTTAATCCAGAGGCCATCTTTGAGGCACAAACATGCCATTCAGTGACCCATACCCCAATTACTGGAACTGCAGCACTGTTTTGCTTTGTACCCAAAGATCCTGAGACTAGTTTCTGATTACTACATCTGCTAGGTTTGGGTTTTAGTTCTTTCTGGTTTTCAGATTCAAAGTCCATTATCTCCCATTTGGACATCCATCCAAATATTGCCTGTGACTTAGCCTGGTCCCTTGGAGATGAGTATGAGTTGTCTATGCAGCAAATAGACTGGAGTCTGAATTAGAGCTATCTTACAAATTGGGCCTAAGGTGAGTCCCCTTATCTGAGTCATCTGACTCGCAGAAACTGGATGTGACCACCCACCTTGTGACAGGCCACTGAGAGCAGCAGTCGAGTTCCCTTACAGGGAAGCCCCTTGCCTTGTAGAACCTTCCAGAGAGGATATTAAAGTATTTTCCAATTAACATTTTTTTTTTTTCCTCAGGAGTTCTCCTGGTTCCCAAATAATTGTTGCTGAGAAAAAACTGAACGACCCATCTTACTGGGTGCTACCCACAGGTCACATTTTTATAAGGACTACATTGAACTGGCTCATCTAGCTCCTTAAAGTTTCTGGACAATGACAAAGACTCCTGTGAGGAGTGGCCTTGAGAGGTCAATCCCAAGGGAGAACCAGTCCATAGGAGGCCATGTCTGCTTCCTGGTGGCCCCAGAATCACTCAAAAGAAGCAAAAAGAACTTCCAGGTCCCAGGATGTCACGAACACAACTCTATCAATTCTTCTCTAACATAACCCAATGGGTGTACCTGTGTCATTGCAGATACGTTGGTGACAAGGTACCCAGAACATTTGCATGTGTAACAGTTCTTCTGTTGTTCTATGATTCGGTTCTCAGTCACTCCCTTGCTGACTGAGTTCCTGGAGGTCCTTTAATCTCCTTATAATCCAGTACCCCACACGAGTCTTAGCAGAGTGTGCACCAAACAGATGTTTGTTGGCTGCAGGACAACACTGATACATTAATGGATGCTCACTCAGGTCCCCTGACTTCAGGCTCTGTGCACATATGTCTAGCCTATCTCTGAGACATGCTTAGAATTATTGAGCTAACACATATAAATGATGAAATTGAGAATCAAAATATTTTACTTCCCTCAGATAAATCATTTACTCAAAGAATCAAAGAGGAAAAACAGGTAATAACTAAATTGCCCTAAGCTATGGAGAATGCAAATGTTTATTTTAATGACTATCTCTACATAACAGCTAAATTTCACTAAAGGGTTGAAAAATCATCCCAAGGGGGCTAAAAACGCTAGTACCATGTCTAGTTTGGAATTTTGTTACAGTGGAGGAATGGACAGTCACCCTGAGCAACAAAAAAAGCATTAGAGAAAGGAAAGTCGAAAACATGAGGCAAACGATTCAAAAACCTTTTCATCTTTTTTTTTATTTTAAATTACAAAGGATGTTGCATACACTGATGAATCTGTATCTGACTAGAAGTGCTGAGGGTTGGAAGGTGACAGAAAACAAAGGCAACACTTAAATTGCCTTTTCTTCTGAAAAGAAAAACTGCACAACTATTAACCAACATTTAATAGAATAATTTTAAACAGCTCATGCGTCAACAAGATAAAAATCTTTCTAGACAAAAGACAAGACTGAACCCAATAAAAAGTTTCATAGCTCCAGTTGGGAGGGGTGTGGGGAAACAAAACTACAGAATATTTATGACAGCATTACAAACAGGATGCTAAGCAACTATGCAAAAGAGGTTGCCACATCGTATGAACAAATGCTTTAAATGCTTTGAATTCTTGCCCTTCCGCTCTTGTCCAGTGACTTCTTTCGTGCGGTCAGCCCTAGTATCACTGTTAACCACAAATGCTAATTATAGGACAAATCCTAGGGAAAGAAGGTAAAAAAAAAAAAGCAGGCAGTGGAATACAGTGTCATTAAAAATGTGGTGGAAAGGCAGATACAGTACACACATACACATTTCTGTCATTTGGTTCTGAGAAAAACACAGGTCAAAGGGCAAGACACAGAAATCAGTCCTGCTCCCATCGACCCAGAATTTACACCATTGTGTAAATTTACACCATTGTGTCTACATTGTTATGAAAGAGGCAAACCTAGTTCGCCCGAACTTGGCACGCTTAAATACCCAACTCTGATGTTCTTCACTCATCACCAAGTCTTCCAATCCAAAAGACTATTTGAAAGAAGTTTTAAGGTTCTTTTCCCTAACTATTATCCCCAAATTTCTCTTTTCTAAACAAAAATGGCAATTTGGCATACTTCAGTTCCGAGGTGTGATTTCTACAATTTCAGCCGGTTTAGGAAGCGTGAGGATTATGCTTCAACACATAATCCCACTTGCTTATGGGAGTGTAAAACGTTCAGTAGTACATTTTCATCATCTTTCCCCAACATGCTTATTCCTTAAAACGAAACCACCATTCCTACAGTTAACATTCATTGTTACATCCCACTGTGTTTGAAATATTAAAAAAACATGGAGTCATCTTCTCATAATGCCCTTAAGATTACAAAGATTACAAAAGAATCCACAAGTATTACGGCACTGTGTGAGACTTATTTATCATGATCCAAGGGAAGAACAAGACTGCAGTTCTGTGCAAGTTGTGGAAATGACCTCAGTTCCATGGGAAATGGTATTCCACAATAGACTTCACTAGAAGGATAATTGAAACCTTTTACTTTAACACTGAAAGCATAATTCAATGCATTCCCAAAATTCAAGTTTCAAGATTTGGAGAGATGCTAACATTCTGTTACATAATTAACTAGAAAATACTTGAACAGAATTTTAGGAAGACTATATAAAGAAAGGGAACATAAATTTTTGTCAATTCCTGATGAAGGCAACTTGAATTCATTTCTTAGAAAGTTAACTAAATCTTAGCAGCTAAAATATTTTTAAATGTATGGAATAAAGAAAAGCACATCCATTCTTGACATTTTGGTGAATAAACTAACAGCTTTATTAATGAAGGCAAACATCAGATAATTGTATGAATATTATATATAAAAAAAGAAATTCAAACTAACAGCATTGTATTTCAAAAGTACTGTACTTCTGTTTCTTTTAAAGAGACTTGTCATCTGTTTTATAAAACAAACAAAACGGGTACTCCTAAAAAAATCTGGAAAAACGAAATAGTCAATTTCAGGCTGATGAACTGAACACACCTTTCTTTAAATGCAGACTATTGCTAAAGAGCAAATGAAGTCAAGCATCAGAAGGAAGATGTAGGACAAATTCATTAAAGTCAGAAAAAAGGGATGTAGTGAAATTACTGCGAATCCTTCCCCCTCATATTCAAAGACCATTCAAAACTGGTCTTTCATACAAATATAAAATAACTATAAAGAGAGGGAATTTGAAACCATACCCATCTGAAATCCTTCATGATGTTTTTATAATAGCTCTGATTCTCTTACCAAAAAGGTCAAAGTGAAAGATTCAGGAAGTGTAAGGGAATGAAGACATTTTGTTTTAAATGTACAAGTAAGGCACAATATAAAGCCACATCATAATCTGTCGTGAAGGATATAGGAAAGGACAAGAATCATACATGGTACAGTAGAACGAGCAATCAATATTGACTGAAAAAGTGTGGCACCCAATTCAAAACTCAGACAAGGTCTTAACAAGAACAACTGGACAGCATGCTTTCATATGGAGACAAACTCTATAGAGAATCCAGTGTATCTGAAACGAGGAAGAACTTTTTTTGTTTTTGTTTTTTAATCATAGTAGTACTAGCATCAATGTTTATAACTGCTTTTGGAACAATGGGTTTATTTGAGGTGAATTCACAATGCCTTCACTTAAAGTAAGATTCTGGACTTCATTATGAGCTATCTATATACCATGTATGAACACAGAAAACCTTTAGAGAGTTCTTCTCTAATGATCTTCACCCAAAAATACATGCCACAATTGTCAAAAAACAGAACATGTACAATTGTTGGGGTTTTTATGTTACCCTTATAAGATTTGTGTGATACACTAAACGTATACATTTTAATGACAATAGAGGAAGCAGATTATTACTGGCATTAAAGTACAACCATTTCTAGACGGTTTTAAATGCCACAGAGTCCCCTGGTTAAAAATGTAAAGCTGCACAGCTTGCCTATGTCATCTTTATGATAAAGTTAAAACAGCAAGAAGATTTAACTTTCACTCTACATTTTACTGCCAGGTTTTTATTTAGATCAAGTATCGCTGCAGCATTCTGACCAGCCCAGATTTAGCAGCAAATGGCAGGAATCATATAAAATGCAATTTTTTAACAAAGTGCTTTTCTAAGATATACATACATATATAAATAGGTACAAAATAAAGTGTCAACATTAAAAAGCTCAACTATTTAAAAGCTTCAACTGTTTAACTTAAGTAGTACATATAAAACACTGAAATGCAAGGATATGGAATCTACTAAACAGATTCAAAGTCTTTTTTGAAATGCAAGACCAAAAAATCAAATTCTGGTTTGCAGACTGGAAAAAAGTATCAAAACCCAGAATTTTTAACAGAGCAGCTAGAAAGGGGCAATTTTATAAACCTCATCAGCTGAATCTCTATCACAAAGTGATTTTTCACCTGATTGCAAAACTGCCATATTTTGGAACACATTTCTATTTTCCAGACACACTCTGTCAAGCCTTCATATATCCCAAGTTATAAACCTGTCTGTGCTTGCTTTCTCCCACCCTAAAAAGGAAAAACTTTAAACAATGACCTTACATTCTATTAAATCATGAGATCTGAGCTTATCATCTGTTTAGTGTGACTGTACTAACCAGGTACATTTCCACCAAGCACAAAGGAGAATCTTGTGCCTCACAGTTCAGCTAAGGTGTCAAGACAATTTTTCTGGGAGTTTCCTTTTCATGATGTCAAAGAAGCATGTAAGCAACACTGTTCAGTTGTTACTATAGGTTTTAGAATCAAACTTTTAGAAGCTATGGCTCGATGTGCCGTTGCTTACAAATTGGTGGCTGAAGAAAGTTAAAAAAAAAAAAGAAAAGAAATACACTAGAGAGACAAAATATAATAAAAATAAATTCGGTAAGGGCGATGGAGAAATAGATACTTTCCCAGAAGCTAGGTCTGATATTTTTGGTATTTTTTTTCTAGCTAGATAGGATCTTTTTTAAAGGGTATTTTTTAAGCCAACAGTTTCAGAGTTCAAAACACAAGATTTGATAACAGAACAGTATGAGACTGGATGAACGATCTGTGGGGAAGGTTTATAACGCTGCCTTGACACAAGAAATTTCTCATCAAGAGGTAAAGCTTTAATGTAGTTAAACACTGACTAATGAAGTTATTTTATGTGAGCAAAAAAGAGCACCTAAAAACTAAATGTGTTAATATTTCTCAGTTCTAGAAACTATAGGAGAATAAGTCACATGTAAGTTTGAAGAAGCTAGTTTGAAAATACCTGTACAAAAATATAAAAATCTATAAATTTTTTTGTTTTCATTTTAAGCTTGTGTTGATCTTTGAAAATATTACATGCACAATAATATATCAATTGGAAAAGTGGCAACTAAAGAATTAGATATTTTTAGCTTTTTTCTTTCTTTACATATATATACATAATACAATAAAAATAATCTGTATTTTGGTTGTTTGGTGGACGTATACTACAATAAGCTAAATAAACTTTTACATTTTCGAGGTCAAAAACTATTTACCAATAGCTTACTAAAATGAAATATATTAAAATTTCCTACAATAAGTGCAGAAATAAAAAGACTTACAGACACCTAAATGGCCACCAACTTATCTACTATGGAAGCGAACTAGAGGAACAGCAAAATAATATTTGTATGTGTGGATGCTCCTTCTGTAGATAATTGGACCCAAACAGAAATAAAATTCACAGTTCAGTAAGATCCCTAACCCTGACCTTTTCATTTTTTTTTCTCCTTTTTTTTTTCATACATTCATACAGTATCATGTAAGCTGTGCAAAACTTTACTTAGACTGGCAGTTTGCCATATCAGTTGCATTTGTCTTTGGTACAAAAAATAAAACAATCGCAATAATGTGCAAGTATTTGTCTTCTTCCGGTCAAGTACCGAAATATGAGTTTTCTAGAGCCATCTTTTTTTTGTTTGTTTTTTTTGTTTTGTTTTTTATACAATACACAGACTCTGTGGCATATATCTACATTTCAACATAGTCCTATGTACATTCAAAAAATTTGAAAAAGAGTTGGAACAAAAAAACATTTAAACCCCATAATTTTTCCATCTATATATCTTATTTTTCCTCATTAGGGTTTTCATCATACAAAATATTACCAGTTTTAGTTTCCCCAAAATACAAGGCACAAAGAATATGCTTTTTTTTCTTACTTGCACAGACATTTTTTTATATATATATCTATATATATATATTTATATATACCATATTGAGCTCGGAAAATGAACATCTAATATGGCACACGGGCATGAGTGCTGGGTTGTGCCATGTACAAGTGAGATTAATGGTTGTGGAAAATTAGAACAAAAAGCAGTAATTCTAAAAACAATCTAAATTGACTGTTCGAAAAAAATGCTTCCTCAATTTTTTGTGTGGCTCAGAGCATAAACCTGCCACTATATTTGGCATTCACTAATGTCTTCATTCCTCCAAAATGCTTAACAGATTTTTACAATCTGTACCTAGAAGTTTACTTAGATGTATCAGTTTCAATTCTGATGCCAGTAACAGTTTTAACCATGGTTTATGCTCTGAAAATGCAATAATCAAGTATTTTGGATCATGCTTCGCTTATGCTACTTAGTTCTTAAAACAATGTAACCTAATTGTAAATGTTTACATAATGCTAAACTGACATGCAAAACAGAATGAAAATTTACAATGAATAACATGACAAACACAGACACTTCTGACCAGTGGTCCAATGGGGCGGATTACACTTTTGATGTTGGTATCCTTAGTCCTACAAGGCCTCCGGTGGGATTGCCTTCTGCAGTCTTCTCTAACACTTGGTTAACAAATTCTGAGGTTTGCCCAGCCACTGGGAGGCCTGAGGAGAAGAATAAAAGGCACACTTAACCACAGAAATGGAGAGGGTATGCACAGTTGAGGAGTAGGGAACACAGGGTCCGGGTGGCCCTCAGCTTGATACTTAACCCAAACAAGCACTTTGCTGCTTGCCCCTGCAGCCCAGAAAAATAATTGCACCCATTTCGTCGGAGTCTACAATTCCTGGAAGGGTTGTACCAAGAATAACCGTGGAGAGTGTTAATCAACAATTTAAAGTGGGGCAGATGGTAAGTAACAATAGTCCAAATAACTGTCTAAACCTAAACCCCATATCTGCCAACAGGTACTGCAGCCTAAACAGACTGCACAAGCTTTTCCCTGCTCCCTCAGCCAGTCTCTTAAGTGTTCCACTCTCCAGGGGAATTGAAAACACAGATCTCAATAGGTGTTTAGTCATAATTACTGAATAGTTATTTTCCCTTTTCATTTTTAAAGTGAATGAATATGCAAAGTTGAGAGAGAAGGAGAAAGGGGGGGGCGATAATATGTGTTGGTTTTCTCATCTTCCTCATATTCTAGAGCTGAGGTCAAAAGATTCTTAAAATCAATAAATAACAGACAGTAAATATGTTTTCAAAGTAATAAGGAAGAAAAATATTAGCCATTGTAAATATGAAGAACTCAAAAGATACTGTTTTTAAGGGCCTCCCCGGTGGCGCAGCGGTTGAGCGCTGGGTTGCGAAGCTGCCCGCAGCCTCTGCAGTGCCGGTTTGATCCCCGGCTGCTCCCCGGCCACCAGAGGAGGGTCCCACATGGCGCGCAGACCTCTCCTGCTGCCCGCTGCTCCCCTCAGCAGTGTACTTCGGTCCTTCTGCCTGTTCTGCTCCCCGCTCTAGCTCTGGTGAATTCTCTCACCCTCCCGCGCTTCTGAATGTACCCAATGCATGTATAAACAAACAAACAAACAAAATAAATAAATAAATAAAGCATGCCTCTATAAAAAAAATAAAAAAAAAAAAGATACTGTTTTTAAAAAAAACCAGAATAGCCACAACCACAGCCACGTGACCATCATTGAGCATGACCAACAATGGGGCAAACTGCTCTATATGCCCCTTGGTTGGTGTGGAAAGGATTTATCACCTATGATGCATTCTTGCCCCCCAAAACTGTAACTCCAGCTAATCATAAGGAAACAGACAAGTCCACAATGTGGGGATATTTTACAAGATCAGCTACCTGTATTTTTTTTGGGGGGGGGGTGTGTAGTGGATGCGCCAGATTAAGAGAGACAAAAAAGACATAATTAAATGCAATGCATGACCCTTGATTTAAATACAGACTCCAATTATGTAATGTATCAACAGTGATGCACTTGGGTGGCATACGGGTATTGTGTCTTAGAAAGAAAATATCCTTGTTCTCAAAAAATACATGGTGAAGTAGTTAGGAATGAAGAATAATGTTTACAAGTTATTTCAAATATTTCAGGGAAAATGTAAATAAGAGGCAAAGATAAAGGAAATGCAGCAAAATGTTAACAACTGGATTTAGCTGAGTGACATGCAGGTGTCCACTGTACTGTTTCTTTCTAATTTTCTTTAAGATTGAAATCTTAAATGAAACTTGAAGCAAAAATGATAAATACATTTTATGTTATATTTTAAAAATTAACCTACAAGACAAAAATTCCAAGCTTGCAAATTATCAGAGGATAGATTAAAAAATAACACTATAGTGGATCTTATGGTCAATAACATAAAAAAGCTAAAAAAAAGTCCAGATGAATAGATCCTAACAGATCTTTCGATGACAAGCTAAAACCAAACATCATCATAAATAGAGTGACACTTACCTATAAAATAAAAATTCCCAGACTAACAAAGAAAATGCAACTATATGTGTGTGTGTATATACACACACACATATATAAACCTAACCATGAATTATATGGTTTGCAAATCAAAAATTAAATTTTAATTTAATTAAAAATATTTTAAAAAGGTATCCAATATATGTTGACTCAGAAAGATTGAAAATAAAAGAATAAACGAAGAGAAATGAATCAAATGTAAATAATAAGAAAGCTGCCTTCATAATAATTCTAACATCAGACAAGATTGACTTCAGGGAAAAGGCTATAAACAAGACAAAAGAAGTGTGCTTCACAATAATAAAGACTAATCCATCATGAAGATCTAGCATGAATGAGTCCTCAAACATCCCAGGTTCAAAAGTAGACAAATAGAAAATATGAAAAGAAACTGAAAAATATTAGAGGGAACTTCTCAGTTCTACACAGGATAAAAAACCCCTCCAAAAATAAGGAAAATAATACCTAATTAAGATAATCTAATCAACATATACTGGAGTCTATATATAAAACATATGCTATATCTTCTTTTCAAATATCCACAAAACATTAAAATGTAATCATATATTAGCCAAAAAAAAAAAATCACAAAAAAGCAAGTTAACTAGAAATCAATAATCTCTACTTTCTGGGAAATTTTCAATCTCTGAAAAAATTCTTGGGTCAAACAGTAATTCAAACCTTAAACTTAGAAGTATTCAGAAAACAACTAAAATATAATAGCAGTGTTTGGAAGTACTCTTCAATGCTCAGAAGAAATTTCAAAGACTTTTAATTATATTAATGAACAAAAAAGAGTAAAAAGAAATAAATTAAGCATCTAACTGAAGAAATCAGAAAAACTGATAAATTCGAGTTGGATCTTTGGGGATAACCAAGAAGTAGAGGAGGATACAATATATGCACAGTAAGAAATGAAAATGGAGTATTAACCACTGATATAAGGAAATGAAAACTCAGAAACAATTGTAATAAATTTGAGAGCCTAGAGGAAGTGGATAATTTTTTAGAAATACATAATTTATAAAACTCAAGTCTAGAAGGGTTGTAATCTGACAAATGGCAAGGGGACACACAGTTTTCAAAGAGTTAATCACACTGAGCCACACAGTTTCAGAGTATTCTATTAAACCCTAAGAAAAGGAAGTCCCAAAGTATTTACACTACTCCAAAGGGAAATTCTTGGAAGACAGTTGTAAGGCAGCAGAGTTTTAATCTCCTAAACTCCCTATATAAAAACAGAGCAATCACATAGAAAAACCATCAACCAAAGGAAACAGGGTATCTCACGAACCCCAAAATTCAAGAGGGTGGGAACTATTCAAAGCTACAAGAACTGCATGTTATTACCATTATCAATATTTATATAGGATGAGTCAAAAGGATACAGTAGACCTGAGAACATAACACGTTTAAAATAGTCAACAGTTACTCAGTGGAAAGCCCAGGAGGTCAACTTGTGAAAAGCTGAAGCTGTGAGAGATTTTATCTAACCCAATGGTGAGTCCAAAGTGAGTGTAAGGAACCCACAGCAGTCTAGCCTCTATGAACTTAGAAAACTAACCAATCAGTACTTCCTTGTAGGAAAGGGACCAGCAGAGCAAGAATCAAAATTGAGTAAGACTGGGACAATAAAAATGAAGAAGGAAAAAAAAATGCTCTTGATAAAAAGGAGGGGGTGTGCAGAACAAGAAATCTCAGAAAGTAAGTTACCATGTGCACTGGTGTGATAAGGCGGGCCCAATTACCAAGTTCCTCTTCTTGCCTCACCTGACTGTCCAGTAGTGACTTAAGAAATCCCCTCCCACTTTTTGCTTTTGCACTTCACCCAGACCCCCAAACAAAGGAACATGTCCCTGGGTTCATATGTTCTCCGTCTCCTCTCCACTGGCTAAGTTGAAGCACTCCCTTACCCCTCCCCCTCCATGTTGCCCTACCCTGACCCCCAGCTATATGGTGACTGTCTGTCTAGGATAAACTTTCTCTTCCTGCTCCTCTCCTGATCCCATCTGGTGGCTGGACCTGAATGATAACTATCTCTGAACAAAGGGGGTCTAAGTCTAAAGGCACCAACTTCCAGTAATAAATAAATAAGTGCCAGTTATAAATAAATAAACAAACAAACAAATAAATAAATAAATGACAGGGATATAATATATAGCAATGACAAGTACAGTTAATACTGTACCACATATTTAAAAGTTGCTAAGAGCAGTTCTTAAAAATTTCTCATTGCAAGAAAAAAAATTTTTGTAACCATGTATGGTGAGGAATGGTAATTTGACTTATAGTAGGTGATCATTTCACAATATATACAAATGTCAGATAATTGTTGTACAGCTGAAACTAATGTATCCTGAACCAAATTTTCCTTTGAAAAGTTCAGAAAAACTATCTTCACATACAAATGAATAACCTATCAAGATCAAAACCCCATAAAAAGTTATTTTGAAGAAAAAAGAGATCTTACAATGAAAGTATGCCGAAAAATATTACCACAAAATAGATGAAAACCATCTATTATTTCAAACTGAGGTGAAGGACATTACAGCAAATGCTGCAAAACATGAAACAACAATATAAATCAGAAATAGAGAAACTCAGAAATAAGTGACAGAACTCAGAAAAAGAAAAAAAGAAAAATTCCTGAAATTAAGACAAAAATGGAAAGGAACAGCGTAGCAAATAAACACAGCAAATAATGCTTTTAAGAGAAACAGGTGAAAAGGAAAAAATGTCTAAGTAAAAATGAAATTAAGAGATAAAAAATTTTTGAGAAAAAGAGATTTTACTTCAGAAAACACTGAGGACTGGCAAAGAAAATCCAGTCCACAAAAAAAAAAAAAAAAAAAAAAAAAAAAGAGTCCTTTAAGAAGAAAACTGAAACAAAAGGACAGGTCAATACTACAAAGAACATGGTGCATACATTAAGATTATCAATCTAAAAAGACCAACTTCAGGGCATGGTCCAGTAAAACTATAGTGCTTTAAAGAAAAAAAAAAAATCTGTTAATGTTTAGCCAAAACCAGCAAATAACTTATAAAAAATAAATTAGGCAATTACTAGCTTTACAATAGTAATGCTTTATGCCTGAAAAAAAAAAAATGGAGTAACTTACCAGGGAAAACTGACAACCCAGTATATAGGGAAAATACAAGCTTATCAACATACAAGGTGTTTGAATTAAAAAATGAAAAGGTAAAAAGCATTTTTCCTTGTAATATTAAATGTTCCCCATTACCTAGCATAGGAAGACTGAAAATGATTTTAAAAAACAATAGACAGAAATGCTTTGAATAATACACAAATATCAAAATAGCATCAATTCATTTGAAGAAAAAGTCACTTCTATTTCCTGTTTTGCTTAATATTCAGTACTGAATTAATCTACAGAGGTAAGAAATAGATGGTTGTTTAGGAAAATATTAATATTTAGGATCTATTATTCAACTAAGATTTTCAGTATAAACATGGTTTTGTCCAATATAAACTTTTGATCTTTCATTGTGTTAATTTTTTATACTATTCTTAGTTTTGTTTCATTTTTTATGTGCTTATGTGGGTACAGTGTGAACACTGGTTGTGTTCTGCCACTTACTGATTGTGTGACTTGTGGCAAGTTACTCAATGCACCTTGCCCTGCTGTGCTTCCTATTCCTTATTTGTAAAATCTGTATATTAATACCTCCTTCACAGCTCGTGTAAGCAAACTACTGAACAACCTTAAATAATCAATGTTAGCTGTTTATCCCTTTTGAACACCTAAGGAATCTTTCCTCCTTCCTTTAGTTCTTAATCTTTTCTTAATATCTTCTCCTCTCACCTTCAATTATGAAAGTTAAACAGATTTCATGAAATTGTTGGGTCAAAATCTATAAACATTGATAACTTTACTAATGATTCCAAATTGTCCTTCAAAAACATTCAATAGGAATCTTCAATTACATTCAATATAAACACTATGCTGACAAAAGAAACTAATAATTTCATAGACCACGAGAAACTTACTATGTGCAGAAAGTATTCAATATGTCTATTTTCAGTTAAAGAAAATTTAGTTTTGGTAGCTAAGCGAAGCATATCTGCATCAGAAGAAACAAACTATTATTGTTCACCAACTCCATCTAAGCCTCTTGATTTCATCATAGCTTTTACCGCAAGTTATAATTTTTTCTACTTATTCTTTGTCTTTCACTTTTAGACTACAGTTTTATAAATGTAATGACCAAGTTCCTGCTGCTCATTCCTGTATTCCCCAACACTTGGTATGTAGCAGACATTAGAAAATTTTGTGAAATGAAGGGTCAGGAAAAAGAAAAAATGTAAGCTGACTAGATCTGAGGCATACAACAGGGAAGGGAAAAGGATCAAAATAGGGAAGGGAAGGGCACAAGGGACGGTGGAGAATGGATCACAGGTGCTATGGTGATGGGGACTACACTTGAGGGAGAAATCAAATACTGTCCAAAAATTAAGAATGATGTAAGAAAATAAATTTAAAAATTAAAAACATTTTGTGGAATGAATGAATTTATAGTCACTGGAAGTAAGAAAAGTTGTCTTAACAGAAATGTAAAAAAATTTCAAGATATTTATAATTTAAAATAGAAACAAATTATAGTGCTTGTTACTCTAAAAGTTCAAATAAGTAACTAATGATTGAAAAGTAAGCTCTAATTTTCTAACTCAATCAGTACCCTGGGGAAAAATAAGATAGAAGAAAATTCACAAGCAACTGAAGTTTACCAATTTACACAATGACTATGTAAGAACCAGTTTTTCAAAGAGTCCTAGAATTAATACACAGAATATATGTAGTATAGATGATCCAATTTCATGATGGTTTGGAGTTTGCATGGATTACATTAATTTTTGTAAAGTGATTTGCTCCTATGGCAGCTAAGCTACTGGGCCTTTAGAGTTCTGAGTTCTCACAATTATTTCTACATTAGCTATCTCCACCCTCCTTTCAGGAATTGCCCTACCTGACTTCTGGATACTTGCCTCTCTGTATAATATTGTATAATATGTTCAGGGATGGAAGACCAGATAATCAAATTTGTTAGACTCCTGTGAAATGTATTATTGAGTAAAACAATAGGTAAGAACCTCCACTAAGATATAAACTATAGGCTTGCCAGCTGAGGGAATCCTTATTTTCCTTATGGAAAAGCAAACCTTATGGAAGGTCAAAGCTGCTAGAAGTTTCATCTTTCCTAAGTGCTAAAATATCCAGTGATGATGTTTAAGTAACAAGCTGTGGTAACCAGTAGCACATGTTTACGAATACTAAATTCAAAAAAAACAAACTACTCAGAGTAGCTATAATGAGATCACTTGAGTCTTTCCTTAAAAGAATTTATAACATTCCCTTGAATTAGGTATCTTACAATACATGTCATTATATGTTATGAATATATGCAATATTCTTCTTACCAAGAGTATCTTTTATGAGGATTTCAAGCTTCTGCCCCATGTTCGGTCCTCTCTCCTCTCTTGGATTTTGTACTCGGTTTACAATCTCTTGCTTGATGGAGTTGATTACAAACAATAAATTATCTGTAAGATAGATCAAGACACTTGGAATATGTCACTAACATGGAGGAATTTGCTTTTGATTATAAACAACAGATATTCAATTAAAATGGAAAATATGTAAGAAAACATTAAGTAGTGATGGTTATTCTTGTACAAAGGGAATAATTTCAAATGATATAGTACTCCTGATAACACAATGCAGGTATGTATCAATGTCAACTATCCTGTAAGCAACTTGCATTACTTGTCTACATAGTTTTAACAGTAATGACAGTGCCTGACATAATGAATTACAGTATCTTAGTAAATGTTTATTAAATAAATCGAACCAAGTCCTTCAAGGACAAAAGCTTTAAAAACTAAATCCCCAACCCTAAAAAGCTTAAAAAAAAAGAGCAAAGTTTAACCCAAATAAACAGAAAGAGGAAAATTAGAGTGAAAATCAATGAAACAGAACAAAACCTACAATCAAGAAATTTAACAATGCCAAAAGCTGGCTCTTTGAAAAGATCAACAATTGATAGTCCCACTCCCAACTCCCAGTTAAATTGATTGATTACCTATATGAGGAATGAAATTTCTAAAATCTGAGGAAATAAGATTCCATTGACAGAAGTATCAAAAAATATAAAATACCCAAGAATAAAATTAAACAAAAGATGCTCAAGCAGTCTATACTAAAAATTACGAAACAAGGCAGACAAAAATTAAACAAGATAGAGATCTATCAGGTTCATGAATTAGAAGACTCCATTTTTTTTAAGATGGTGAAATGAGCCTATATAATCAAATACACCCCAATCAAAATTTTGCAAGCTCTTTTTAAAAAGTAAAAAACTAATTGTAAAATATATATGGTCACTCACAGGACAAATAATAACCAAAACAACTTTGAAAGAAAAGAACTGATACTACTTAATTTCACAGTTTTATAAAACTAAGTAATCAACCTAGTTTGTATTAATATAAAGGTAGACAAATAGATCAGTGGAACAGATCAAACATATGTATCAACTGATTTGACAAAGGTACAAAAACAGTTTAATGTGGAAAGTCTTTTCAATGAATGGCATTTGATCAACGGTATATTCACATGAAAAAGATAAACATCATATCATACACAAAAATTAACCTAAAACTAATCAAAAAACTAAATGTTAAATTGTAACTATATGAATTCTAAGGGGAACTATTCATAATTTTGGAGTTGGCAAAGTTTCTTAGAACACAAAAAAATAGAAAATATAAAAGGAAAAACTAAAAGATTAGAATTGATCAAAATAAAAAATTTTTACTCTTTGAAAGAGGTCAGTGAGGAAAAAAACAGGCAAGTAAAAGACTAAGATAAAATATTTTCAATATATCAGACAAAAATAACTGTGTCCAAGAACTTATAGAAGACAACTGAATTTTTTAAATGGAAAAATATTTGGACACTTCACACACACAAAATATATGAATAGCCAATAAGCACAGAAAGGTATTCAATGTCATAAATCAAAGAAATGCAAATTAAGACCTTGATGAGATACTACCACAAACCCATTAGGGTTGGTTAATATGATGACTGACCCTACCAATTACTGGCAAGGATACAGATCAATTCAAAACCTCCTACACTATTCTGAGAATGTATGGTACAGAACTTCTGGAAAACAGTTTCATGTTTCTTATGAAAACAAATATACCTTATGATCTAGCTAGTCTACTCCTAGATATTTAGCCAAGGGATATTAAAACATGTCTGCCCAAACACTTATAAAGGAATATAGCAGCTTTGTGATAGCAAAAACTAGAAACAACCAAAGGATCCATCAAGAGGTGAATGAGAAACGAACTGTAGTATATCTAATACAATGAGACACTACTCGGCAATGAAAAGGATACAACTCTTCATATAGATAACAGCATGATAAAATTTAAAAATAGTTATGCTGACTGAAAATAGCCAGGCCAAAAAAAGAGAGAATATATTGTAGGATTACATATATATATATATAATTTTCAAAAATGCAAACTAATTTATAGTGACAGAAAGCTTACTGTGTAGTGGAGTGAGGTGAGAGGAATGGCTTACAAAGGGGCAGAAGAACTTTTGGAAGTGATCAAAATGTTCATTATCTTGTCTGATTTCACATATGTACATATATGCTCACCCTAATCAAATTAGGCTATTTAAAAAAAAAAAAAGAAAAAAAAATTAGGCTATTTAAATATGCAGTTAATGTACTTCAATTATACCTCAATAAAGATGGAGGGGAGAGAAACATTTCCAATTTCAACACATAGGATTCCTATGGTCTGCAATAAATCTCTATCTCCTCAGAGACTGCTTTGAAATCAGTGACTTGCTATTCCTCATTTAACTATACTGAAAAGAGACCAATCTAGACAGACACTGAAGAAGTGAGAAATAATTAACTGTAGAGGGAGAGGGGGCAGTTTAAAACAACATGCAGAGTCAATCTATATAAAATGTGTCACCAAACAAGTAAAGTACAGCTGACTCCCTAAATCACATGAAACAAGAAATTTATGCTTCTTTTGGATGAATAACCAAGTGGGAACAACATTAACTCAAATATAAATGAGACATTTACATGCAGGCTGGACTTAGAGAAACAATGAGGTTCCACATCCTCTTAAATAAGGTCATTTTATAAGAATTAAAAAACACTATGAAATCAAAATTATTCAATAAAACAGAGAAGAATATATCTTATCAAACTGGGGCAGTATCCATCCTAGATTATCTGGCTCTTAGAAACTGAGACCAAACTTTAAGTCTATAAACAGATCCCTTAAGTTGCAACTCCATGTTTATATAATAATATTAAAATTTTAATTTTCCTATAATAGTTTGTCAGTCAGAATGTAGGTCCAGTCCACTTATTATTTCTATTTCTCATTCTGAGTCAACAAATCTACATTTGATACACAGAACAGTCTCTTACGAGCTTTGGTAAAAGGAATCAGTTAAGGAAAGAAGTTGGGTAAACAGCAGGAAAAGTATAGTGCTGGATCCCTGAAGCTAATCCTTGAAAGAGTGCTATTTCATGGCACTTTAGAAAGGATAAGGGAAGCCTCCCTTTCTGCCCAAATGGTTGCGATCAAGATAGGAAGTTTATGAAATCCCAGGAGATGGTCCCCTGGCAGGAGATCACTCTGGAAACAAAGTGGTGACTATGAACATCAATGATGATACCCCTACAGCCATGCTCTGGTGGCTGGAATTAACCACTATCCCTGCAAAGTGACAGCTTCCCTGGGCAAGAAGAAAACTGCCAAGAGATCAAAGATCCAGTCTTTTGTAAAAGTCTATAACTATAATCACTTCATGCCCACAGGGTACTCTGTGGCTATCTCTTTGGACAAAACTGTTCCCAACAAGGATGTCTTCAGAAACCTGTTCTTCAACAAAAGGCCTGATGAGAGGCCAAGGTCAAGTTCAAGGTGAGGCACAAGACTGACAAAAATGATTCTTTGAGAAGCTACAAACTGAGATGTTTTCTTTCGGTTATTAAAAATTTTTTAAAGAATTAAAACAATAGATTGAATTTTTCATAAAATTAACTTTATTCTGAGATGATGTCTCTCTCAGTACTTAATACTAAAATATCCTCCCAAGTATGAAATAACAATAATTGTAGATGATTTTTTTAAAAGTGTCTTCACTGGGTAAAACATAAAATTGGCAACCCGATGGTTCCCAAGTCCCAAAATGTTTTTCAGATGCCATAAATTTATGAATAGAAAATTCTAGAAAACACTGCATTTATGTGATTAGGTAGCAAAAGTTCCATAAAGCAGTAATGGAGTGACTCCCAGATATTTAGAGGAATCAAGGGCCCTTTACCCTTGAGAGATATACAAAAAACTCTGGGAAAATAGTCAAACTACATGTGACAAAAACTACACAAGAGCATCTCATTGATTCTGAGAAAGAGCAGTTGAGGCTGCTCTTTCCTAGAAACTGGAGAAGAGAAGCTAAGTAAGATAAAAGTAGAAGAGAAATAAATGAATGAGAAACAACTCTTTCTCCTAGCTGTCTAAATGAGAATACTACCTTTTAAAGACAGGTCTTTTCCTACATGAAAATATCAGAGGCTTTAAAAGTTAGCTTTGGACAGAAGAAAAACTTAAGGTAATCATCAAAATTCAATTCAAGCTTGGACAACATACTGAGAAGCACACATAATTCTGGGTCCTTAACTGCTCCCCATCCCAGAATACATTTACATTGCAGACACAAAGTATGTGCAAGCATGGATGCACAAAAAAGTCACACAGAAGCATATAACTGGATAAATACATTAAGTGAACAACACATAGATAGATATCTACATAGAGCCAAAGAAATGGTGACCTAGAAGGATCTTGCGGCCTACAACTCCCTGCAGCATGAATCAACAGGTTCTATAACGAAATATGAATGCCCATGACAATGTATTACTATAAATATATACCTACTTACAGAGTTCAAGGTCAAAATGCTATAGCAGCAAGAATGGTTAATAATAAAAATGATTGATTTCAATTCCAACAAACCAACTATTGTTATACATAACTCATTTACCTTGTTTGGCATTCCTGAGTGGCCATTAATAAATAAAACTATCAGTTCATTTAATAAATTGTGAATTTCACAGCTGACAATCCTCCTTCTAGCCTCTCAAATAGAAGCATGATAATCAAGATAAAGGATTAAGAAAAAGAGCACAGAATTTATTAGGCACCTATGTGCTAGACATCATGCTGGACTTAAGCAAAACTCCATAAATAATAATTGATGGTTTTGCCTGCTATTCCACTTTCATATACAACTTAGCCAAAAAGCTACACAGTGAAAAGAACAATTTTGAAAGTAAAGGAAACATACAATTATGATACCAAGTTTAAGGAATAATTATTATAGAGTTTGAGGTAAGGAAGGGGTGGTTCTCATTACAGATCAAAAGCAGAGCTTTCCAACCCTCTACGGTGCTGTAGAAAGATTCCAGGTTCATGAGATGATGACATTCTCTGTCTAAAGGGGTCTCCTCTCATGAGAAGCCTACTATATTGCAGGATGCCTTAAAATGATGATTTTTCACATGTGCTATGAAGTAAAAGATTGGTAAAAAAAACAACAACAACAAAACAACAAAACACTAGTTGAAACCAATGGTTCCCAAATAGATGCTAGGATGGTTGCTTATGAATAGTCTAGGAAGGGTCAAATGGATACCTGCTGGGAGAAGCAGAAGCATCTGTATTTCAGGTCAAAATGTACCTAAAATACATGTACACCGATGATTCTAATGAACAATCAAACTTGGAAAACACAGGTCTAAACTATCCATTGAAAGGTTAAAATAAATATTAGTCAATAAAAGTGGCTAATCCAGCAATACAATTATAAAATGAAATTAAGTGATTAATGATCACAAGTAGATGAGTTCTTCAGGGGATAGATGTGATTTGGCTTAGGGAGCCACAGACACAGATACTCACACTAAAAGGAGGACATGAATGAATAAAAGTGATTACTAGTGGCTCACTAAGTGGATGAACATAAAAGAGGCTGGCCTAAAAAGTGGCAGAACACAGGAAAGCAAATAAAACCAAAGAAAAAGAAAGTGGTCAGCAAAGTAACAGGAGGTTAATCAAATTCTTAAAAGTTTAGGTTTACCATATTCTGTGTTGAGGCCCCATAATTTCACTTTATTAGCTTCATACTGGGCTTTTTTCTTTAACCGACAAGCCCTGCGAAAGGAAGGAGCAATTAGTTCACTTTTTTTTAAGTGAACATTCAGAATATACTTCTTTTTGCTGCCGTCATTTTCTAATTAGCAACCCCAAATCACAACCTACTGCTAATTACACCAAGGAACTCAGTAACGAAAAGACACCATATAATCATTTACCCAAATTGATTTTTAAAAATTTTACACACATTCAAAAATAAAGCTATGACCAGTACACCAAAATAAACAAACACCAAATAACAATACCAAGTATTATAGAGGATGTGAAACAAGTGGAACCCTTATATATTGCTACTAGGGATGTAAAACAAATAGTATGCATAGCTACTTTGGAAAATAGTCAATTTTAAAAATAAATTTTAGATATAGCTACTTTGGCAACTTCTTATAAAGTTTAAGATACATTCCTGGATAATAATAGGAGAAACAAACAGAGAAATGAACACTACTGTCCACACAAATAACTGTAATTATTTATAGGGGTTTTATCCATAATTGTAAAAAACTAGAAACTAATGTCCTTCAACCAGTGAATGGATAAACTATAATATATCCTTGAAAAGGAATACTATGCAGCAATAAAAAGAAACAAACAATTACTCCGTGCAACACCAGGATGGATCTCAAACACAACATGCTAAGTCAAAGAAGTGAGACTCAAAGGGCTACAATTAGTATGATTCCATCTTCCAGAAAAGGCAAAATTGTAGAAACAGAAAACAGATCAGTGGTTCTGGGGGTTAGGGGTGGGAGAAGGGGTTTACTTTTACAAAGAGACATGAGGAAGTATTTTTTTACAAAATATCTTGATTGTGGTGGTGGTTATATGACAAGTTAGTCAAAACCCAACATGAAAAAGGATGAATTTTACCACAAGTAAACTATACCACCAATATAACCTTGATTTACTCTGAAACAAAAACAAAAGTTTGATAAAATTTTTCATTGTTATTCTATAACATAACACACTTGAGTTAATTCACCTCCACCTTTAAAAACTTCTCCCGTGAAGCATAAATATCATTTTACTTTCAAAGTAAAAATGATATTATGCTTATGTAGTGTTTATAAAGTATTTTTCTGAATAAATGGTAGAGGGTGATCTCTATAAAAGCACAAAGAACATCTAACCTCACATCCTAGACTTATTCACAAAAGTGAACATGATTAGCAATTACCTGGAAGCCAGCTTATTTTTTTCCTTCCTTGACCTTGGCCGGGCTGTTAAGGGAAGTTCACTGACTGGCGTCAGATCACTAATCACCTTATTCAGTTTCCGTAGTTCATTGCCTATCTGGAGTAGTTTTTTAGGATTTGGTGTCAGATCTTCCACATCAGTTCTCCGGGACTTCTTGACTGCATATTTTCCTAAAGAATTTTAAGTTAGGTTATTTTACTTCACAAGAGATACATTTTCTGTAGCCCACCAGGCACCTTTTATTTTTCAGAAGTCTTGCCATATTTCAAATGTTTCAGCATGTTAACAACCAATGATGGAAAGACTGACCTTCTCTCCCTCCCATCTTGTGACTGCAAGGAAAGGAGGTAAGAGGGCACAACTCCAACCTTTTTCCAAGTCCTCTCCACTTTAGCTTTCTAGCCCTGGTACAATTATTAATATCTGCATGGCAGTTATAAGTATCTTAAACCTAAGGATTAGAAGTGACATTCACATGCACACAAAAATCAGGGCTAGAGTAAATACAGAGTCAGAAAAGAGTTTGGAGAGTTTGATGCTGTAACTAAAAATTTATCAGATGCATATACATTATTCTTGCATTGAACTCAAAAGTCAATAAATGAATGCCTTTTTGGAAAGTTTTTGGTTACTTTGATAAATAACATCACAGAAGACTCAAGGAGTCTTGTCCTATCACCGCAGGTAAGAGGGATGGCTCTGTTCTCTAATCTATATCAAACATGTCACTAACTATCTGAATCAATAGCTACCTGAAACTATTTACTGGACCTGACTTTTCATTTCTGGCAGAAAATTCATCTGAAAGCAAAAACTAGGTCTTCACTGAGTCATTAGAGTGCAGACCTGGGTGCCAGCAAAAAGGGAAAATGAGGCACAAAAATAAAAAATATTTTTCAGATGCAACCTGTCTCAAAAATGCTTAGCAACTTAAATCTGTAACATGAGTGATTTTTAATGAGTCAAACTTAGCATCCTCCACATTGTAAGACTTTGGATTAATGTAAAAAATAACATTTGTGCCAACTGAATTCTACTTAATTACTTATCTTTCTGAGTCCACAATTCAAATTAACCTACCTAAGAACCATAAGCTTCTCCTGATTCCGTACTATTTGTACTATTCCACTCCTCTCTCCATTCCTCTTCTCACAACTATTCTTCCTTTCTTTTCCTGCCCCTTCTTTTTTCTCCCCACCACCAAGCCAATCTCCTTTAATCCAGTCATACAGGTCCAGAGGGTGCATGAGAACAGAAGGGAAAAATGCCAGAGCCCATTCTCTTTCTCCCCAGTCCTCTAGTTTATAGCAGCTCTGATAGGTCAAGTATTGGCAGGCTCCTAGTCATTTCCTGGGTAGGATAAACAGCACAAAAAGTAACTAGAAATGAAATGTTTTCACAATGCCTTCTTCCCTGTTTAAGTGATGGCTCTCATCACCAGTAAAAGTTGAAAAGCAGTAATAATAAATACTGCAGTTCTACTCTTCCCCTTTCCAGTTTGCTACACTCAAAAAACATCACTATGGTTAGCATCTCTATTTAAAGTGACATGAGATAGTTTACCACAATCCCCTCTTACCATGATGTAAGCCATTTTTCTGATACATATTACTTGGCAATGTGTCTCGGTTCCATTCAGATGGCCTTAGCATCCTTTCTTGTTGTGACGATGTGAGCTGTTCGCTATACTCCCAGAAGTACCTTCTTTTACCTCTCTTCCGAGAAGATATTGAAGTCATCTCCTTCAGGTCTTCCACTGAATCATTTTCATAGCCTTAAAAAAAAGCCCCCCAATATTTAAATTCCAAAATCTTAGTAATAAACATTAGGACAAGCAAAAAAGATCCTTTCCATTTATCACTTGATATACTTCTTCTATCTGAAAAAAATCACTCTAATGTCAAAGACAATAAACCAGGTCTATAAAATAACTGTTAATATGGTAATCTCTAACTCATAAAATATTCAGAGATTAATAAACATGGGTAACTACACTGCTTAACGCTTCGATTTTAATAAGTTAGGTACATTTTGTATCTTCACATAAGATTGAGAGAATAGTGAAATATAGCTACAGGAATGTCAAAAAGTACCATTAGACATAATACCGTGATTTTACATGTATTCCTTCTAACATTTAAGCACCTGGAGCATCCCCAGACAGAACATATCCAGTAGGCAGATTCTGTGAGGTAACAGAGGTTTTCTCCCTACCTCCCATCTTACTCTTTTTTTGTGCAAGTACAAAAATGTCAGTTCTCACATAGGCTATCAAATAAAAATGTATACGTCTATTCTAATATCTTACTGGTATCAATTTGCATATACTTTTTGAGAAGGGGGAAGTTTCAGAAAATACTCAATTCTGAACTAGTAGAACTACTGCTCACACCTAATACAAGATGACCAGTCAATCTAAAACACCCTAAGGGAACGCCCCTCTTAGATGTACTTCACAGTATTACTTCAAGGTATACAGGGGATAAGGTGGCTCTGTGTGCAAGATGCACACCACCCCAAACCTAAGAAGCCCGGGAAAAACTGAGCAACACTGGCTGAGCAAAATGATCATTTTCCCTTCTATAAACATGACCCCTCTGAAGCTGATACTAAGAAATGGTGACATCTGCATGCTCTGGGGGTAAAGTCAAATTTTATAAATTTACCAGGCTTTTAAGAGAGTAAGAATCAATCGGGAATATGATTCAATTTATATGACATACTGTAAAAAGCAAAACTATGGGAATGAAATAGTTGCCAGAAACTGGGGGTAGAGGGAGGAACACAGGGAAATTTGGGGGTGATCAAACTATTCTGTCTTGACTGAGGTGGTAGTGGTTACATGACTATATCCACTTGTCAGAACTCATCAAAGTGTGCTTTCTTAAGAGGGGTGAACTTTACTGTGTGAAAATTATATTTCAATAAACATGACCTTTAAAAAAAGAATCACATGCAAGAGAAAAATGATTTTGGGGCAAATAGTGAAGACAAGCTTTTGCAGTATTGCTGGCATTAACAGCATTAGAATGCACATTGTATTTTAAAACAATATGTATGGTAAACAGTCTGACAGTGAACTTCAGGTTCTTAAGAAATGATGCACAAGTTGAGTGACACAATCATTTCTAGAATTCCAATTTCTTAAATTATGTTAGATACATAAAACAGTAGTTTTGGCTTACTTGTGCTAATGTTTCATTTCAAATAAGAGGTTCTTACCTTGTTTCAACTATCATGTTAGCTTTAGAAAAGGTGCGGGGGTACTATGTCACCAGAAATGGCCAATGAGACCAAGTCAAGCAAAAATTACCAATTATGGGAACACTGGTTCACAGAGATTACCCTAGCTTAGCTGGATACAGGCAGATGTACCAACCAAAACACTTCCAACTTTCAGTCAATGTCCAATATACGTGTCCCACATTTAAGTTATTTAAGTCAATGTCCAATATATATGTCCAACATATGTGTCCCAGTATAAAGCGGAAGGGAAACATTCATCTTCTTCCCATTGCTTTATCTGATATTCACCCTTAAACAGCAACTCTTCTCATGTGCCTGGATTTATGGCAAAATTCTATCCCTCTCACTTAATGTATTTATATATTTCACTTTCAGACATTGCAATTGAGAATTCTTAGAACTTGCAGACAAGGTTATTAACCCCATTTTCACAAAGAAACACACTTATGGAGGCTCTAAGTGACTTGGCAGAGCTGGGACTGGCTGAGAACTCATGACTCAAGTGCAGCCCCAGGGCCTCCCTGGTGGCGCAGCGGTTGAGCACTGGGTTGCAAAGCTGCCCGCAGCCTCTGCAGCGCCAGTTCGATCCCCGGCTGCTCCCCGGCCACCGGAGGAGGGTCCCACATGGCACGCAGACCTCTCCTGCCGCCCGCTGCTCCCCTCAGCAGTGTACTTCGGTCCTTCTGCCTGCTCTGCTCCCCACTCTGGCTCTGGTGAATTCTCTCGCCCTCCCACGCTTCTGACTATACCCAGTGCTTGTATAAATAAATAAATAAATCTTAAAAAAAAAAATGCAGCCCCAGTTGAGCTTTCCACTTTCTGAGTTTAATTCAGTTAAATGGTCTAAATGGATGTGTGTGTGTGTGTGTGTGTGTGTGTGCACGCGCGCGCATGCGTGTGTGTGTATATAAAATATTATTCCACATATATTCTCTGTTAAACTCAGAGTCATGAAGATTTTGGGTTCTTCTGTCCCACCCAATTAGTTACATCAGTTTTACTTATTTGTATCAGTCTTTTTCCAAAAAAGTACATTTCAAAAAGTACTTAAAGGATATCAGTTTTCTTTGGCCTAATACATTAACATTTTATAATTGTATACAAATACATTCACTGTAACACACACACACACAGAGGCAGACTACTGTACTCAGTAGAATGCAGGAAACTGTATTTCCAGATTACTGGTCTAGCATTTAAGGCAATGAAACACTTCTCGAAGTATGTTATGAGGAACACATGCCTTCATCTCCAAGTGAGTTCTGTCATCAATAAGTTTTAAGAAACATTTCATTCTGCATTTTATTGCAAAGTAATAGCACACATAGCCATATTAAAAGACTGAGAATTCATAGCAATATACAAACCCACTCGACTCTAAGTTCTACAAAGACAAGGGTTATGCCTATTTTGTTCATCTCTGTATAGTCAATACCTAATGCACACAGTGCCTGACACGAAAGTAGGCAATCAAAAAATATTTTCTAACAAATCAATGACTTGTTTAATTCAACATTTCCCACAGTTTCCCTTTTCATTTGATAAATCGCCATACTGAACTGAGTCATTTCTTCCTGACATGGTTATCAAAAGGAATGAAAACAGCTGTATTTACTGCCTAAAATCCAAATTACACATCTTTGATTAGTGGAGACAACTGCCATTAAGTTAGCAAAGTCAACTGTGAAACTGTTTAGTAGGAATTACCAAAAAAAAACTTTCATTGTTGATACCCAATTCTTAGTCTCAAAACCATGTAATTCCATGACTACAAACAATTGTAGTTTGTCTACAGAATAGGCTCTATTAAAAGCCAGTTCTAGAATAAGGACTGAAACTCCATTTTCTACCTTTCCTGGAGTGTTGCAGGCTCAGGCACTGTTGCAGCTAAGTGCCAAGAAACAGAATCAAGGGAGCTAGTCATCACAAGAAGGCCTTTGTAAACTAGCAAATTAAATCAATCAGCCTTCTAAAACTAGCACGCTGAAAAAGCTGTAACTATCCCTATTTTTCTGCTTCAAAGAATTCCTTCCAACTTCTCACCAGTAATTCATTCTGCACTCCTAATGTCACTTGTTTAGCTCTTTCTTCCAAGAAAAAGGAAAATTTCCTTTAGTAAATGTGAATAAAGCCCAAGTAATACCAGAAAATTGTGTTGATTTTGTGGGTAAGGCATGTCATTCATTCATATTTGTGAGAATTGTCAAAGTAGTACTGTCCAAGGAAAGTTGACTTTCCTTCAAGTCAACTAGGAGTGAACTAAATGTAATTTAAATATTTCGCATTGTTAAATAATACCAAGAGGAGCTCTTTACCCTATCAATTACCAGCTAACGAAATGCACTGTTTTAAAGCTGTGTTGTTGCTTAACACCAAACAACAAACTCACACATCAGGGTTCTCCTACAGGGACAAGACAAGAGAACATGGCCTCACAGACAATGCCAACTATAACAATGACTCCTTCTTCCCACTGAGAAAACGGAAATGAGGGTCAGCTTACCAAGTGTTCTCTCTTCACGGATCTACTCACCACTAAACACATTTATCCAGGTGAAACCAAGTCAAAAGATGAAGGATGATTTTGAAATGGAAGTCAAAGCAGAGATGGGGTAGACTGTATGGTCCTTATTGGCCTTGGCTGATGATGGTACAATTTACCAATTGCCTCTGATTTTTACATTCCGTTAAGCACCAGCTGGTAAAGGCATCTCCTTCCCCATGCATCCCGGTTATTACCCATCTCCTCCTTGTCATAGCCTTCCTCTGTCCTCCTACCCATAACCCTAAAAATGAGACTCAAAACAATAGGGCTCATCTGTTAGACTCTAGGGATCACTCAGGGACAGCCCTCTGGTCTTCCCATGGTAGGGATCTATTTAACCAACTTACCACAGGCAACAAAGACTACTTAATTGAAATAAAAAAGCAAATTTTACTAATTTGCTAAGAGAAAATTTTCCTATTAAGTAGAAAAGACAATAGCTCTATTTAGACTACACAGAGTTCTGAAATAAACCAAAGGCATAAACCCTGTTCCTTACCTTAAACTTAAATACCTTTTCCTTACTCCACCAAGGCAAACAACTTGGTTATATCAAATATATAATTCTAAGCTTTACTGTAATAGAAAGATTTCACTAAAAAAAAGTCTTTCAGCTATTAGAGAGCTTCACTGGTTACAATATAGCTACTATGCCTTAAAAGCCTTTCTGAAGGGCCTCCCTGGTGGCGCAGGTGGTTGAGTGCAGCACTGTGAAGCTGTCCGCAGCCTCTGCAACGCCGGTTCGATTCCAGCCGGCCTCGGAGCAACCCACATGGTGAGCGGACCTCTCCTGTCTTGCCCGCTGCTCCCCTCAGCAGTTTATTTCATCAGTCTGCCTGTTCTGATCCCCACACATCTGGCCTGTACACCAGTTCTTGTACAAATAAAATAAATCTTTAAAAAAAAAACTTTCTGAAAATTAAAGATCATATTTATACTATCAGAAAATCCTGCAGTCATAAGAGTTCCTTGACAATTTAAGAATTTTGAAAAATAAGTTACGTTTTTTAATATAGAAATTATAAGATCAACCTTATTTCTGAAGAAAATAACTGGCTTAAATTGAAAATCTCCACTTCTTTGTGCATTTTAACCATGGACCACACAGCAGTACCACTTTCACAAATAAACTGCACATGCCAACAGTGGCAATAGCCCAAGTATGTAAATGATGAAGCGAACTAGTTCTCTTCTTTTACTTATATGCAGTATACATAAATAAAGCAGTCTCCTTCATGTCCAATAAATTAAAGCCAGTATTTTCCTTAAATGGAAACATACTGTACAAATGAAAGATGCAGCAGACACAAAGAAAAAGCTGTCTTTTACATTATTTATTAAGTAGGTTTTGGTAACTATAGGCAAGAGTAATATAAACCATTAGCACTTGGTTCACCATTTTAGGGACTCTTACCACAACCATAACAGCAGGACACATGCAGAAACAGGAATATTTTTTCAACCAGTCAATCCTTGGCATCTTTGCACAATCACTCAAGAAAATGACAAATTAGGTGATTTAATATAAAATAATTTAAGAAGCAGCCCTCAAGGAATCAGCATATGAACCACTCTATGAACAAAAGTAATTATTTCAGAACTGTCTAAATAGAAAAAAAGCAATTACATATCTAAGCCAAGACATCAAGTCATTTAGCTCCCAAAGCCAAGCTTTTAATTTCAAGATTATAGGAGAGAGATCAGTTTGTTAAGCATCTGAGCATTACAATACCTGGTTCAGAGAATGTGTCACTAATATCATCATCCTTGTCATCTTCATAATCCTCTTCCTCTTCTTCCTCCTCCTCATTTTCAGAAAGTTCATGCTCACTACCAAATCCTTCATCATGGTCCTCATCATCAACATCCTCTTCATCCTCCTCCTCTTCTTCAGGACTGCATTTGGTTGGCTGTTCACCCAAGTTGTCAGAGACAAAAAGGGAGTAATTGTGCTCTTCTTTTTTCTGGGATGAATCTGAGACTGATGTGCTGGCAGAAAGGCTGCTACTCTCTCCCGCTGCAATTGATCCAGGACCCTCCTGGGGCAAGGGACTGAGTAATAGTTCTTGGGTTTCTTTAAAAGGCAAAGCCGGCGTGGCATGACCCTGCAGAGGCTCCATCCCTTTTTTCTCTGGTCTCTTTGCTACGGCCCCACAGTAGCAGGTGTTCTCCTTTGCTGCATCTGTGTGAATCTGGCTCAACAAGGGTCGGCTCTGCTGCACTGGGTTGATCTTTACCTTTGCCTTTTTTACATAGTCCTTACATTCAACATGAAAGTTCACCTTTTCATTATGACACATGTTGGTCTTCATCATGATTTGTGTGCTTGAAGTGGGTTTACTTGCTTTTTGGACACAGTCTGACAAAGGGACCTCAGCCTGAAGAGTCTTAGAAGAACACACAGGGGCAGCTGCTCTGCTCGTGATCTTTTTACCAGGGAATGAAGAGGGCAAGGGATTTTGTTTGACACTGAAAAGTGAATCAGGGTAATAAAGGGAATCAGAAACAGACTGAGAGTCCTCACTATTAAGCTGAGCCAAAGTGGGAGTTTTACTTATGACTTCTTCATCTTGGTAAGGACTAGAAAAATCATCGAGACCCAGGTAATCCACTTCTTTTGTTCCCCAGATGTCACAGCTGGTTAGCTTGGTGTACTTTGTTAAGTCTTCACAGTATGTGTCCCACTGTTCCCAGTTTGAGGTTAAAGTACCCTCACTATCCAGGACATCTGTGAAAGACTCCAAATTTTCAATGTCTTTGCAGTCCTCCAAAGAAAGGAAGTTGTCTCTAGGATTCTGTTGGTAGTTCATCTCTCTATCCTGAGAAAGGTTAAAAAAAAAAAAAATCACATACCACATTAGAAAAGAAATATTCACCTTCATCCTCACTTCCATTGATCAAGAGCTCTTAAGCTTTATTATTAAACACTCTGCCTTAAAAAAGTTTACATTCCCAATTTTTTACTTAGACGGACTTGAGGATTGCCTTAGATACAAGCTTCAGTTATAAAGCATACAATGAAGGCCTACCTTCATCACAGAAGAATCTGTCTTCTTAAGTGAGAACTTACAGGTGAAAAGAGCAATCCAAAATGAGTTGGAACTCAGCCACAAAAGGATGAGATCTTTTGTAAGACCTTGTAACAACTTTTAGGTATGGGTCATAAAATATTCCTCATGAATAGAGATTGAATTAAAATGTCAATTAGGTTATGTATGCAGTCACGATTTTCAATTTTAATTCTTTTGAACGCATTTAAGCTCTCATGAACTAACATGAACGCCTGCTCACCATACATTATTTATGTTAAAAAGAGTAAGTTATAGAATACCTAGCATATATTTATATATTCATTAAAAAATTCTGCTAGTAGTTACCCTTGGTAAAAAGATTTGAAGAGGGAAACTCAGGAAGGCAATGAGGAAGTTTTCAATTTTGTAGTTTATTTTTTTTTCTATTTTGATTTTTGTATTTGTTTGGGCTTTTTATTTTGTTTGTACTTGTGCATGTGCATGTCATTGTAGTATAGCTTACATGCTATAAAACTCAGACAATTCAATGATTTTTCATAAATTAACAAATATTTGTTCTTTAGTTTTCCAGTTATTATACTTCTGTGTTGCTTAAGTTGTATATAATTAAAAAATTTTAAATCTTTTCTTAGGAATCTTAATGTCTACTGACCTCAAGAATAAATAAGTATATTCAGATATTGCTTGGAATCCCTACTTCTGTCTCTGTGTCATACATCGTGCTTAATGTTATCATTTCCAAATTTTCCAGCTTAAATCCATTAGCAGTTAAGATTTTTTGAAAAGAGAACTTCACATACTCATCATTAAAAAATAGACTTAAAAATGCTTAACCTTTCTTCTTACAGTCTTCAGTGCATTCATACATCCTTCTAAAATTACTAAACTGGCAATCACAAGACTCAAATTTGGCCTTTTCAGGCATTTAAAAATAAAATTCTACTACACCATGTACCCCAATTAATGCAGAATACAAGAAAACGTTACTTACCAGTTCATACATGAAATCTGGATCTGAACTGTTTGCTAAGAGATCTGTGCTCATCAGAGTCTGTTCTGAAAAGGTGTGGCTTCGAAAGGCATCCCCAAAAGGCGGATCCATTCCGCTTACACTAGGCTATAACAGAGTGGTTTTAATTTTAGAAAGTTAAAGACCCCCTCAAGAACAAAACCTCACTCTCACCCTTCCTAAAATGTTATATTCAGAAAACAAGTCTGTGTTTTTTCAACTGTTTAGTACATTTAAGAGATTTAATAGCATTCAACTGTGTGCTAAGATGTGTTAAGATAAAGAAATAGAGTGGCAATTGTTCATAATACCTAACTTCTAAAAAACCAAAGCTTATTTAGCCAACAGTCAGGGTACAGTACCTAATGAGCACTTGTATTTAGCTACACAGAATTTCTTCAAATCCATCTCTAACAACAAACACTCTCTATTCTAACTTCCAGAAATGGAGGATGCCCTGCCATTTCCTCGGACTTGCAGAGGTAGCAAGTCAGTCTTGCTCTGTAGTCCTGAGTTCAACATCTTATCTCCCAAAACAAGCTAGAAGACACTGGGCATCTGTAGAGTTCAACAGAAGACTCTAGAAAGGTGACGGGAGTGGGATCAACAAAATATCCAAAACTCTTTTGGGCCAGAATGGTGATTTGAGCATGAGCATGGTAGTCTTAATCCTGATCCCTATAAAGGGTGAAATTCATTTTATAACAAACAATGGGAAAAAAGACTTCAACACCCTGAGATAATGTTCCCTCTTGTTTACTCTCCATTGCTCTTTCCTTTCAACATCTACACAAATCATTCTGGAGTAGAGACAGTGGGTCTTAAGTGGAACAAACAAGTGAAAGCCCTCACTGTGAAATCCAAATGTCTAAAGGAAGACAATGAAAAAGAACAACTTCCTCTTTGCCTTTTTGGCCTTCCTCAAGTTTCTGCTTTAACTTAAAAATTATTAGTCTATTTGCTTGTATTTCCCTATTATATAATCTTCTACCTACCACAGACTGCCTTTTCACATACTTTCTCATGATGCTTTTCTTCAATGGCACTTCCCACTCCATTCTTTTCTTTCCCTTATTTTCCCCATTCTCATCAGGCTGCAAGATCTTTCTTCCTAAAAAATTTTAGCCTGAGAAAACAGGGCTTTATGTTTCTGAATTCAAGTATTTAATAAATAGCAAATTATACCTTGAACAGGAAAAAAATCTAACTGGTATATGCAGGCCACTTACCGCAGAGATAGGGATAGACATAGATCACTGGTCTTTTTAATACTAGCTAGCAAATCCCCTTTCTTTGCCTCCACTGTCTGCCTCTGAGTCACCACACAGTCCAGCAAGTTGATTTCCGGTGCTTGAGCAATAGCTCTGCCTGACCCCATATATAGCCACCTGTGCCCTCTCATTATTTCTCAGTTTCTCCTCAGCACTGCACAAGAGAGGGGAGGGGAAAAGCTAACCACTGGAAGGTGGAATAAACAGGTTTCATTTACTGTTGCAAGGACCCCTTAAACCAAAAGTATCAATTCAAAGTAGTTACATAACATAGATATAATTATATAAATAGATATAACCTATATATAATCATTCTTAGGTTCTGTGAGAGACAGAGAGAGAGAGAGAGAGAGAGAGAGAGAGAGAGAGAGAGTGTGTGTGTGTGTGTGTGTGAGAGAGAGAGAGAGAGAGAGAGAGAGAGAGAGAGACTGGAGTCCCTCACCATTTCCTCTTAATTACTTAACAGGCATAAATGGAAGGAAGCAGTGGGGAAATAGGAAGAAGACAGAAGAATGGAAATGGGATTTCTGTGAATTTTCAAGGGAGTTGGTTTAGCCCCCATAAAACTAGCAGATCTGTCCACCTATGACTAACTTTCCATTCACCGTTTCCCCTATATCAAGCTCATTGAACTTCAAAACTGTATGTAGCAAAGAAGAAAATACAAACAATGAAAAAAGGACATGTACTTAAAACTAGCTGAGATGAGAAGTAAAACATTTTAAAGAGCATATCAAGTTGTGTTAAAATTCAGAGAACTTACAGAACAAATAGTGACTTTCTGCAGTGGGAAAATAGAAAACTTTACACCTACTCTGCTTAATTTACCTGAGGCATTTCCAAGCCCAGATCCTGTGAGTCTGATTCCAAACTTCTTTTTATTCTTGTCTGTAAAGTCCTTTCCAGCTTTACTTTTAATTTCAAGATCAAAGATGATTTTCACAATAAATGGCAGGTTTTCCCAATATAACTTCAATTCAACTGCTTGGATCTCTGCTGTTTTTTTTTGTTTGTTTGTTTGTTTGTTTTTAACAATTCTGTGCAAATCTGTCAAACAACAACACAAAGTAACTTCACTGCACTCCATGAAAAACAAGTTGACCTTTCAAAAACATATTAACAAAGAACACTTTATTATTTTTTTTTGTGGTCCTAGTCCTATTTTATTTTTAATTTTTTTATTTTTTTTAATTTAAATATTTTATTTTATATAATTCTTACATCTTTTTTCATCTTTGCACAATGTATGCATTTTCATTTTGGTTATATTCCCCATAAAATTGCACCCCCACCCCTTATTTTGACTGTAGTCCTTCCTTTCCCTGCCCTCCCCGCACCCCCTCCCCTCGACCAGTGTGTCTCTGATTTACAGTGAAATTTAAACATATTTGCTATATTAAATAAAATCATATTCCTAATGGCATATGCAACATTATTCTTTGAGTCACAAGTGAAAACTGTCACTGAAATAATTAGTCCAGTAGGTTTTTAACATCTGCATGGGAGAAATAAGGAGGACTACTTGGTAGAGCAGTTTCAGGGTTAAATTAAACAATGACTGGAAATCACCTGGCACTGGGTCTTAATCTAAATGTTAGTTTCCTTTTCCCTCCTGTATGATGGCCTTAAAGCAAAACTAAACTGCTATACCCACTTCATCTTCTTTCCGTAGATAAGTGGTACTAAAGTGTGACACTGGGACTAGCAACATCAGCATCACATCAACCTGGAAATTTGCTAGAAATGCAAAATTGTGAACCGCAGAGGTACTAACAGAGATAGTCCGGCAGTGAGACCCAGTAATGTATTTTAACAAGTCCTCCAATGAGTTGGAGCCACTCTAAAATTTGATAACCCCTGTCCTATACTGAATGTCTTGCTCTTGTTCAGTCTAAATGCAGTATTGCTTTTTAGTTTGATGTAAAGAGTCGGTTTAAGCTTAGTTGCCCTCTGTAGTTAACAAATTCTCTGGGCTAGAGGAGTACTTTACTATAATTTCAAAGACCTCTTTTAAAGTCTTTGCTGGACATATAAGAGATGGTCATAAGGGACTCAACAGTTGTTCTACTTACTTAGAATAGTAAATTGACTACCTTTTGTATTTTTTGTACCTTTTGTATTTCCTGATCTTTGCTGGGTTCTCGCCTCTGCTGAGTTGTCCTTCCTAACTTGTAGTCTAGCCTAGAAAACACTATCAAGTGCTTAATCTGGGTCTACAAACAGAATAAATTCTACATCTTAATCCAGTGCTATAGTGTTGATTCGGGTGATTCCTGCTCCAGCCAAAGGTCATTTCTGGCCCAGTTTCTTCTTATGGGGCCTCATGCCTTGGTCTTACTGCTGATAGGCAGTTCAATCCTAACTCTTCCCAAGTCCCATGAAAAACATGGTCAGTCCCCTTTTCCAGACCGATTACTTAGACTCTCAATTAGGCAAATAATTCAAATCACGCATTCCACAAAATAGACGAGTGTAATTCTGACATACAACCTGGATCTGGGAGAAAAATGTGACTTTCTACCTGAAATTTACCTTATCTGCAATAGGACTGAAGATTCAAAAAGAGACAGAGTTCTATTCAACATGAATTTACTGTCATCTACTGAAGACACCATCTACCAACCACTTGGTATACCAGGGAAAAAAGAACCAAAAAGTGGGCCAAGTTCTAGTTGCAGTTCTTTCTTGCAAACTATACAACACTGCGTAAATCAATTTTTCTAGGTCTCATTTTTCCCAACTCTAGAAGAGAGCAATGCTACTCTATCCTGGCTACCAAATTTTCTAATCCATAAATCTTCCATACAAATACAAGTATTTATCTAAAATTGTATTTCAACCCTTGGCACCAAAACTAACTTTATTAGCCCATCTAGTTTGAAAAATACGTACATACTTGTTGGGAGACAAAAACCTGGGTTCCAGTTTTGGTCCCATAATTAAAACTAAACAGCCTTGTGAATTAGAGCATTAGTTACTTAAATTTATGCCTGAGCTCCCAGATTGGAGGAATTACAATTATTCTCCCTAAACTATAGGGATGTTGTAATAATTGAATGAGACACAAAATTAGGTTGTAGCAATAAATCTTTTTTTTTTTTTAAAGATTTATTTATTTATTTATTTATTTATTTATTTATTTATTTATTTATTTATACAAGCACTGGGTACAGCCAGAAGCGCGGGTGGGTGAGAGAATTCACCAGAGCCAGAGCAGGGAGCAGAGCAGGCAGAAGGACCGAAGCACACTGCTGAGGGGAGCAGCGGGCGGCAGGAGAGGCCTGAGCGCCATGTGGGACCCTCCTCCAGTGGCCGGGGAGCAGCCGGGGATAGAACCGGCGCCGCAGAGGCCGCGGGCAGCTTCCCAACCCAGCACTCAACCACTGCGCCACCGGGGAGGCTCTGTAGCAATAAATCTTAAGGGTGATTATTATCAATATGTCTATTTGCCAATGCTTTCTTTTATCACACAGCTACTTTAGCTCAAAACTCTGCCAGATGTTGGCAGCGAGGCTAAATGTTTTAAAGACACCAGTTCTCAGAGAAAGTATCCACCATGTGAAAAGCTGAGCTCATTCACCTGAGATAGTTAAAGGTCCTTAGTTGCTTCTCCTACTTCTCAGGTAACTGCAAATAGGATGGAGGGGAGGGCAATTCTACCCCCATGCAATAGGACCTCTTTTCACTTATAAACTGTCCTAGTCTCTAAAGTTAATACCCAAATTCACAACAAACTATCCTCATTCCCAATGTTCTACACCCATTTTCTAGAAGTCCTTGGTACCGTTCCAAACATTTATTGTTAAACAGCCACGGAAAATAAAATTCCCCATCCAAAAGTGGAAAGAAAAAAAGAATAAAGGCTTCAACAGCAATTACCACTACCTGGAATTTTCCACAATGATACACTACTCCCAAACTGTATCTTATAGCAGGGAGCAATACACAAAGGGTACATTAATACTTCAATGGCCCAGGAACACTGAGGAAGAACTTGCTTTTCAGAATGTCTTCACACTTCTTTCAGTTTAAGATTATCCATATTTTACCCAAAGCTTTGATAAAAAGTAGACCACGTATGGTCTAGTTTCCCAATCTGTGACCTAAGAAATATGCGTTCAAATTAATGTTACATGGTTAAGGGTTATGAGCTGGGAAAACACCACATTAAACAAAACTATTACACTGCCGTTATGGTGGGGCTTCTTGGAAACAAAGTGCTGCATGCTGATGAGTGTTTATAAATCACCAACAGGTCAACAAAGTATCATTTCCCAAACTTATTTGATCATAAAATCTCCCAACCTCCCCTCAAGCTGACCTCAGGACTAGTGTTTCTCCGCAAAGGACAAAACAAAACTCAAAAAAACAGGGGAAAGGCTAAATTAATTCCCCTTTTACTTTCTTTTACTCAGAAAGCTCACTTACAAGTTCCCAATATAATTTTGTGAGTTTTTCAAGGGAGAGAAGATTGTGGTTCATCAGATATAATATTTATCCATAGATTTTCTGTACCTGGGCTTATTAAAAAATATTCAACAACTTCTCCTAAGACCAGAAAACTACTCTAGTGAAAGAACCACCTCTCTGAAGCAATGAGAAGGAGTAAATAATATGTGTGAGCAGTAGTGAGTCACCCAAAGACAGTCACAGGCTTAAGCTCTTCCACCAGGTACTAACCTAGCTGTTTAGGGTTCTCTATTTGAAGCTATATTGAGGCTTACTGTGTATATAAGACAAAGCTAAAGGTAGAGTAAGATGATAGGAAAGGTTAAAGGGCTACTTACAAAAACTCATCCCTCAGATAGTTCAAATCACAAATCCAAACCTAAAGCCAAACCCAACAGTTTCCAAGTGTGCCCCAGGCAGCTCACAGGTATCCAAGAGCTCCTAATTGTGCCAGTTCTAAACCTGAGTATTTCAGCTGATCCTTGAGAGTCCATGTATAAAGAAAAGTTGACATAAAAAAACCTTCTTGGGCCTCATCACTATGAAGTCATCTGTAGTCATCGCAGCATGAGTTCAATCCCTGGCCAGGGAGCTAACGCATGTGGCACAGCAGACCTCTTCTGTCTCACGGGCTGCTGCCCCCAGCAGTGTATTTCAGTCAAACTACCTGTACTGTTCCCCACTCTATCTCTGGTGAATCCTCTCACTACCACCCCCACCCCGCACCTCTGGCCTGTACCCCAGTTCTTGTATGCATAATATATCCTTTCTTTGAAAAAACCTTCTTTATAGATGAAAAGGTGTTATGAGTATGCAGATACCATATATGACTGCCAGAATCCCTGCAGCTCCCTTATCATTTGCCACTGGCTTAGGCCACTGTTCCCTGTAACTTGAGGGAACTGGGTTCTCATAATGCTAACTAGCACTTCTGAGTCATCCAACATTCATCAGAATAAATGTCAATATATTTTTGACACACCCATTAGGATGGCTATAATGCAAAAAATGGAAAGTAGGGCTTCCCCGGTGGTGCAGCGGTTGAACGCTGGGTTGCGAAGCTGCCCGCAGCCTCTGCAGCGCCGGTTCCATCCCTGGCTGGCTGGGGAGGGTCCCACATGGCGCGCAGACCTCTCCTGCCGCCCGCTGCTCCCCTCAGCAGTGTACTTCGGTCCTTCTGCCTGCTCTGCTCCCCCCTTCGGCTCTGGTGAATTCTCTCACCCTCCCGCACTTCTGACTGTACCCAGTGCTTGTATGTATAAACAAACAAACAAACAAATAAATAAATATTTAAAAAAAAAAAAAAGGAAAGTGGGCCTCCCAGTTGGCGCAGCGGTTGAGCGCTGGGTTGCGAAGCTGCCCGCAGCCTCTGCAGTGCTGGTTCGATCCCCGGCTGCTCCCCGGCCACCAGAGGAGGGTCCCACATGGCGCGCAGACCTCTCCTGCAGCCCGCTGCTCCCCTCAGCAGTGTACTTCGGTCCTTCTGCCTGCTCTGCTCCCCGCTCTGGCTCTGGTGAATTCTCTCACCCTCCCGCGCTTCTGACTGTACCCAGTGCTTGAATAAATAAATAAAATAAAAATAAATCTTAAAAAAAATA